AAACTAAAATCCCCATCATTCCGAACCATTAGCCATACAAGATGTAGATTACGTGAGTTGCAGAACAACAATATCCAAAGGACACAGGTCCCCTGCCAAGGGACAGTTTTAAAAAATCAGATTCAGATAAAGATATCTGTGAAATAGAGAGTAAACTGACCCAGATCCTAGTCAGGGAGAGCTTCGAGGTCTTGGTTATTTATACAGAGACAGAAAACTGAAATCGGGTATTTTTCATTGGTCAAATAAGTGAGCATTCTGCCGCGCCTCATTGGACAAGAACTGTCAGATTTAAAATGATTGGCTTGAGGAAGTCCCCACTGGAGCATAAAAGACAGATCTCTGACCAATGTGGGTGGGTGGGTGGAAATGTCCCTGAAGGTGAGCAAAGAAGATTTAGCTAAAGGTGGAGTCAGATGAGGGACATCCTGGCTTAAAGAGACCTGGGGAGCCTGAAGAAAAGCCAAAGAGCTAAAATCACTGCTAGAGCAGAAGAAGAGCAGTGAAGAAAAGGAGAAATCCCAGAAGACAAGTTTTGAGGGAGCTCAGAAGCCAAAATATAGCATGGAGTCAGTGCTAAGTTCCTGAGGCAAGAGAGGATTCCTAGACCAGAGGGAGGACTTTGGCAGGAATCCTCCACAGTTGTCTGAGCATCTCCAGAGGCTTGGATTTGTGAGAGTCATTTTATAGTGGGGCTGGCATAGGATGGCTGACAATTGGTTTTGAGTAGGGGGAGGTGCTATAGTATGCATCATTATTTGAAGCAATAGAGAAGCCAAATTAAGTTTGATATAAAGCAACCTTTAACGCTAGCAACATCATTTGTTTTATTTATTGTTATTTAAAATACATCTTACCTTTTCTCTGCCTGCTTTTAAACAGTGTCAGGACTGTTTTGTACCATGAATAAACCACAGTTACTGGAGGATGAATTGGGCTTTATAATTAAATGGTAATGGTAACTGAACTACAGCAGCAGCAAAGAAAGCAGTTGAATGATAGATGACTAGATAGATGATAGATAGATAGAGAGATAGATACCCGTATTTTTCGCTCTATAACACGCACCCAACCATAACACGCACGTAGTTTTTAGAGGAGGAAAATCCGTAGGCATGCCACCCGTAGGCATTCCCTCCATAACACGCACAGACATTTCCCCTTACTTTCTAGGAGGAAAAAAGTGAGTGTTATGGTGCAAAAAATATGATAGATAGATAGATAGATAGATAGATGATAGATAGATAGATAGATGATAGATAGATAACAGTAGAGATTTTAAAAGAAACATCCAAAACTGGTAGCAGTGTTGATGGGATGATAACAATAGACAGAAATCCTCCACAAGCAAAAAATATTCCCCTGGACCCATTTGCCTGTAACTTTGCATGCTTTATCCACACTGGAGGGGCTAGCATGCTGATTTTACACACTTCTATCAAAAGGGTGCAGGAGTTACGCTCATTTTTTAATTTCCCAATAATGAAGAGGGAAACAAAGCAGACTTAGACAGATAGGTTGAAATGGGCAACCAAAGAACATGCTGGTCTGTTTTACAAAGTTCCAAATCCAAATTTAAACCAGTTCTTGTGGTCAATACACACCCCTGCTGGCTGAGTAAATGAGCTGCTCCAACTGCTCATTGGTGGACCACGGCTTTACTGTACCTGGGAACAGCCATTTCAGGGTGGAGATAAATGCATAGCCCTCTCCAAGGCCATTAAATCTTTAGGCACTAGGTGAAGATGAGTGATAGCTCACAAAATGAAAAGATCATTAGGACATTTTTAAAAAGTTCTCATTGTGCCAGCTTCGCTGACCTTGACAGCGCAGCAGTTTTGTCAAGATGCTCCTTCTGGGTGAATCAATTGGGGTTTCAGACAAAGAAGAGTGGAGCTTTTTTTCCACCCAGACTGTATTCTCCAGAGTAAAGATAATGAGGAGTCTCAGCAAGATGTGTACCTGTCACCTTGGCCTGCTGATACGAAAAACCGATGCTTCCAACAGGAAATGATTTAAACTAATAATTATCTCATGCATTAAATTCAATCAAGGAAAGGACAGCCTAGATAAATGCAGTTATTTATGGGAGAAATAGGAAGACTCTTTATGCCATCTTATCTTCATCAGTTTCTTTGTGCAGTAAATTTTCCCCCCTGAGCCTGAAAAAAATAATATTAAAGAAAACATTTTTAAGGATGTACTGTTGAGACATGAGAACAGAAACACTGAGCGCAGTTGTGATTCTGTATCGTTTACTAAAAATGGAAGATATTTAATTTACTACTTGAGCTATCTCTCATCAGCAGGAACTTAACCTGCAGAGAGAAATGTAAGTAGATAGAAGTGACATTTTGAGAGCTGCAATCCAAACCCCATTTGCACAAGGCTGGAAAGGTGGGGTTGAATTGGAAGGAGGTATGTTTCTGTGGATACCTCTGCTGGCTTCCACTGACCTCTGACCTTAGAGTGACCCTAGGATCACTCCACTGGTGCAGAGCTTCCCATTCCACCTGCCAAATGGGTGGATGGATGTACTGCCAATAGGATTCCAAATGGCAGTGGCAGTCCACATAAAGTGCCAAAATGGATCATTCAGGGTGGGGAATGTCTGCGCTGACCCAGGATCCACTGGATCCTAATTCAGCCCCATTGTCACCGCATGATCCAGAAGATGGCAGGGGGCACATTAAGGCTTCTGAAATGTGTTTGCAGAATGGACAACATTTTTTTAGCCTGCAGAAAAGAAAAGAACGATATGAAAACAAATTCATATTTGCCTTCTACCCTGGCCAGCAGGAGCAGCAGATGTGGTGGTGGCTCTTAAGCCTCACTGTTGCCCCTAAGGCTTGGTTTTCTTCTTAAACGTTTTATGTCTATTATATGCACTGAACAACTAATGACTCATTGAGGTGTTGCTAAAAGTATGCCATGATAGGGTTGCCGTATTTCAAGAGGTAAAAATCCAGAGACAAAAATTCCCCCTGGGTGGGCATGTAGGACTCCCAAAAGAGGACATGTCCGGGAATTCCCGGACATATGGCAGCCCTAGCCATGCATCAAGATTGCCAAACCCCATTTCCAGAAGTCTCTAATTTGTATTTAGTGCATTTGCAAAAGACTCGTTAGCAGTTGTTTTTATTTCAAGCTTCATATCGTTTTTCTTAAGCACTGTGCAGAAAGCAGGTGTACAACACTTTTCTTTGTGCAGCCCACACATTTCAGAGGTTCTGCACGTATACCCACACATACCTACCTTTCTCCTCTATGTAAGCAAGCAAGAAATACCATTATACTTCAAGTACACAATCCAGACAGGCAAACACATTTGAGGGGGTTGCAGAGCAGAGCCAGTGAGGGGTGTGACCTGGGGAGAAAGGGCATGGCCTGCAAACAACCCCCATGTCTGAGGTTTTACACCCATGATTTGCAATGCACCTCTTTACATGTCTAGCTATAAGCACGTCCCATCCATTTCTAAATGTTGTCAGTGAAAATCGGTAAATAGGCATGGGATTGCAGCCTCAACTAATTATCTACTGGTTAAAGCTTGCAATTTGAAATATTTCAGATGCTATGAAAGCTCTGCCTGTGGCCTTCAATCTGTGATGGCCTCTTTCACACATGAAAGTCAACACTTGGGTGTTGCATATGTGAACCAACCCTTAATTTCCATAGTACTGTACAGTATTTCATAAAGTCTTCATCATTCTATCATTTTTTAATGGAATTAGCAGTTGGATTGCCAGCTGCTCCTTTCTCTAATAATGGTCTGACTATTAGCTGAAATTTTCCATTGCTTTATTAAACCCTTATCCAGGCTTATCTCCAGGAAGATTTCATCCACTTACTTTCTGAACGTCTGGCATGGGAGCACATCCAGTAAATTTGACAAGTTTATAAATGTGATAAACGATCATTCTTTAACTTAACAGTATTAATGATTGATAATCGCCATTAATTACTTAACCACCATTCTTACAAGGAGATCAAGGCGACGTGATTTGTGCTCCCCTACTTCATCTTTCCTCAAAACAACTCTTTGAGGCAGGTTAATGCTGAGAGAGACTGAGTGGTCCACTGTTACCCTATGAGCTTCATGTCCAAGTGAGGATTTGAATCCAAGTCTCCCTGGCCTTAGTCTCACACTTTAACCACCACTGTGGTTTTGCCTATGGGTGATGACAACCTTTAATTCCCACCCCCCTCCACCCCCCCCCAGGACAGAGAAACTTTAGTTCTGAAACAACTGACTTTAGGTAGTTTCTCCAATTAACGAAAAGCCCCCAAACATCATGTCAGTGCCTAAGCAAGCTCATCTAAATCCTTTTTATAACTCAGCATCCTTATCAACATTAGGTCATCAGTCGCTTAGCCAGAGAAATTGGATAATAATCTTTTTAGTCACACAAATATTATAAGGCTTAATTAACTGCTGTTTGCATAGCGCTTCGAAACAGAAAGCATTGTGCATATAACATATAATCTTGCTCACCGAATGACCGGTAAATGAATGGAAGCAACACACTGAGTATAATGAAAGTCATAAAAGAATATAAATGGTAATTGGGAAGAGGCTAAAGTGAGATCGGAATCTAAAAAAGGGGAGAACTGAGTGCAAGACATTGTGTACCAATGGCATAGTGTCAAATTATGGGGTTAAAGGCATTTAGGTTTGACTGACTTGGGCCAACATTGGCCATGGCTCTCCGTGGTCTCAAGAAGCCTTTCTCATCACCTGCTACCTGAATATTCATTCACTCATGAATATGGACATGCATTTAGAAAATAAGGAACAGAGACTGGGAACAAAAGAATGTTGTCGTAAAACCAAAAGGCAGCACATTGTGAAAACCCAGATGTACAACAATAAGGCTGCAATCCCATACATCCTTACTTATCCTTACTTATCCTTATCCTTACTTTTATGTAGTTTTTCAATTTCATTGTTCTGCATGGGACAATGACAATAAAGATATTGTATCGTATCGTATTAGGATGAAGCTCAGTTGGATAGAGCATGGTGCTGATAACACCAAAGTTGTAGGTTCGATCCCTGTCTGGGACAGCTGCATATTCCTGAATTGCGGGGGGTTGGACTAGATGATCCTCAGGGTCCCTTCCAACTCTACGATTCTATAATTCTATGATTGTGTGAAGTCCTGTTGAAATTAGCGGGGCTTACTTTTGCATGGAAATGCATAGGATGGTGCCACCGGTTGCTTAAAGTAAAACTGTGTCCCATGGCTTTCTACATTCTCATTGCGAATTGTGGCAATTACTGAATTGCAGAAGTTGGACATTTTATGCCAAGACTAGGAGGTGACTGGAACTGAAGACCATGGATTGCAATTGTATCATTCTTCCCCAGGGAACCTACCAAACTGTTTTGGTGTCTAAGCTTTCAAAGTATCAGTTCCTGGGGGTTTATAACCTTTTCAGCCCCAAAAAGAAACTTCAAAGTAGAAATACACTGGATTTCACTAGAAGGGAGTTTTATAGAGGTCATTTCTTTACTGGCACTAGAGAACAAGAACTACAAAACAACTAAGGCAATACATTTTTATTTTATTTTATTTTATTTTATTGTCGTTGTTGTGACTGTTATATGCCTTGTCTTTGCCTTTAGGGCTGACTCCGGCTCCTGCTTGTGATGATTTATGTATTTGTTGTCCATAAGAAGGGTACCAGTCTTGCAGCTCTAGATATTAAGTGAGGCCACAAACAGGCAGAAAATAACCAACCTCGCTTTTGCCTGCCTGCCTGTTTAACAAAAGTCTGACATGCAGAAATCAGGAAGTGAAGCTCTGCATGGTATAGAAAATATATGATCATCAGCTATTTGCTGCAGAGCAAAACTGCTCTTAAAGGCATCAAGAGGGGCCAGTTCAAAAGCTGGAAACCATAAAAATATGGATATGGACTGCTGAGAACAAATTTGAACTGAAAAACTGGCTTCCCAGCAAGATCAAGCTGTCATGTGATAGATAGACAAGGCCCCAAATGGCATCACCAAATCTTTAATTTTTTCTAGATATTTTCCTCTGAAACTCCTTTGAATTCAATGGGGATCACTCCAACCTAACGTATATGATTGCAGTCTAAACCCTATAACTGCTTTGATCAAACGTGATCACTGCAGGAACAGTCTTGGCTTTCTCATTGTTGGCTATAAAATTGCCTGCTTTCCTGGTTGGAGTTCAGTTGCATTCAGTTCTCTCTAGACTTTGGCCACTGGGAACAATTTAGAATCCATTGACTAAGAGCCAATCCTCTTCTAACCTGATGGTCTGAACTGCACCCCGCCCCCGCGCCCCACACACAATCAAAAGGTTTGCATTATGTCTGCCACTATGCCATTCCAATTGGAACTGAGTACCCTCTCATGCAAAACTATTATTATTTAATTGATTAGCATTCTATTGTTGTATATAGTTATCTTTACATTATACTAGTACTTAAATTTTGAACACTTGGTGATCAGGCATAACTTTTTCATCATGCATTGCTCAATTTTTTTGAGGGACCAAAAGAATAATCCTAGTGGTACCTCAGGTTAAGAACTTATTTCGTTCTGGAGATCCGTTCTTAACCTGAAACTGTTCTTAACTTGAGGTACCACTTTAGCTAATGGGGCCTCCTGCTGCCGCTGCGTTGCCGCTGCACGATTTCTGTTCTCATCCTGAAGCAAAGTTCTTAACCCGAGGTACTATTTCTGGGTTAGCAGAGTCTGTAACCAGAAGCGTCTGTAACCTGAAGCGTCTAACCCGAGGTACCACTGTACTGTTCTTAATCGATAACAGAATTCCAAAGGGGGGGAAAACACTCGCAATCATTAGCAAATGCAGACTTTGGGAAGTTTTGAATAGGGTGGATTTAAAGGAACAGTCAAAATGATTACGTAGATATATAGCAGATAAGTGCTAAGAGCTCAGCACACACTGCAGCTGGAGCTAAATGTTGCTTTTTTTAGCGTTTCTTTCAGTAAGTCTTAAGAATATATTGCAAAATGTTTGTTGCTATTTTTGAATAGCCATCTGCTTTGACCAAAAGCAACATGGAAAATATAAAACACATGCTGATTTTGACCCTCTTTGGGCAGTCTTCTTTGGAGTTAAGTAAACACATGCGGTGGTTCAGATGGGATGAGCGTGGCAGCTCTGCCCCCTCCCTTGCCATTTCTGTTGCCTTCCATGAGTTAGAGAGCATATGTCGTAAGTTCTTGTGGAGGTTCCCTGATTCCAAAGTGCACTGGGAGCACCCCCAGTAGTCAGGACTTCCCAAGACATTTTGGCACCTGAGGCGAACCACAAAATGGTGAGCCACTTTCAGGGAAGAAGGGGTGAGTGGAGATTTACATAGGGAAGAAGGGGAAGGGGAATCAAATCAACCTTACTTGATGGTTGAAGTGGGAATCAAAGGTAGCTATGGCATGAGTGCTCTGAATCATGCTAGGCCACAGTGGCAACAACAGTGGGAGATGCATTTCTTGGAGGCCAGATCAGATGCCCCTGTGAATCCTGCCGCCTGAGGCAGTTGCCTCACCTTGCCTCATGGGTGGGCTGGCCCTGAATGTAGTGCAGGAGGCTCCCTGCTTCAGCTTTTTAATAGTAATAACAATAATTTTGTTATTTATACCCTGTGTATCTGGCTGGGTTTCCCCATCACCATGGAGGGTGATGGGGAGAGGGGAGAGCTAGTGAATTCATGCTACCCCCTCTCAATTGATTTCTTAACTCAGAAGAAGAATACCTCCATAAGGCTTATAACTTACTGCTGTTGATGCCTGTTGGCAGCTCACTGCTTCTGTTCATATAGTGTCTGAGAGACCCTTATCTGTGTACCCCCTCCAATAGAGTTCCGGAGGGTGGTGACACAAGAATGGGCCTTTTCAGTGATGGCTTGTGAAATGTTCTCCATGAGGGCATGCCATCCTTGTCCGTTTCTAGATGCCAGGCAAAAACATTTTTTATTTGTCCAGGTCTATGGTCATTAATATGGAGGACCTCTTTTAGTAGGATTGGGTGACTATGTGCTTTAAATATCTATATTTATGGATGAGCATTTTAAGTTATTGTTTTAATTGATGTCTTTATATCTCATTTTAATGATGCTCATTATTTCTTTTCTTACTTTGTAAGTCACTTTGAGGCATTTTCATGTAAAAAGCAACAAATTAATAAAAACATTTTAAAAAAATAATATTTTATTGCATTTTGAAGAAGTTCAGCCAAAAAGCGGAAACACAATCTATAGATTCATCAGGTGTTTATTTCACCAGTTTTAAAAAAAATATTAGAGAGGCATGCTCCATTTGACATGGAAATGAAACAGTCAGAGTAGAGCAACCCACTGTAATTTTGATCTCGAATGGAGCCAAGAAAAAAAAATCCAGTGTAATTTATCACTCTTATAAATTGCTTCTTTATCTCCCCCCTCTATCCAGCTGTATTCCTTTTAGCTTTAGAAATAATCTGCATTGTACAACCATGCTATTAAAAAAAAAACAGAAACCAAAATCAATTTCCTTAATTCCCTTAGGGATGGCTCTCAAGCATCTTAGGGAAGGGGGAATTCTACATTTTTTATTTGAAAATAAATAATGCATGGTGCACATCTAGCACTCACTAAACCCATGAATTGCTTAAATGCTTGAAGGAGCTTTGACAGTCACAAATCTTGCTGAGGAAAAGTCATGTGCCATGTATATTCCCCGCTCTGAAGCTTGTGTTGGTTGAAAAACTTTGTATACTTCCTTCGAACTTCAGCGGCTGCACATCTGTTTGCAATTAAACAAAATAACAAGATTCCCTTGAACTCTCCTAAGTTAGGGTGAAACTTCCCTGCCAAAGTTTACCTAAGGCTAAGCTGTTGAGGTTGTACTTTGAATGGGGTGTCTGCTTTGTAATAAAAAAAATTAAGGTCTTATATATATAATAAATGTTCATAAATGTACCAAGCAAACACGTACATAAATATATAAACCACATGTCAGAAGCAGCACAGGAAGACAGTCCTAAACCATTTTGATTCCCCAACTGACCAAATGTTTCTCTGCAAGGAGGGAGGGGGTGGGGGAACCTTCCCATTGTCTCAGGAATTAAGTAATTACCATCTCAAAGGAATGGCCAGACTACCAGAAAAGGCAATCAGATAAGGCATTATCAGATAACCTGGCAGACAGGAAAAACAACAACATTCAAATTCCTGTTGTAGACCGCATTTTCTGTGATGCAGGTATGATGTATGGAGGGGTGGCCTTGAGCTCCAGGGCAGGGCAATTCGATGTCTATGTAAGTGCGGGCACGCCTTTGTTCTGGGTCCTCCTCCGCTCTCCTGTGTGTGAGGGGACAGCTTTAATAAAGATCAGGCTTACTAGCTGCTTTGCTTCTCAATGTTCTCTGGTTGGCCTCTGTTATTCACTTACCGATGGAGAACCTACAAAAGACTATAAGGGCAGATTTTGTTTACAACAGCTTGCAATATTTCCTTTCTGAAAATCACCCTCCCAGCTGATTTCCACCGCCACTCTCTGGAGAAATACATAATAATTTACTATTATAATAATAATTTATTATTTATACCCTGCCCATCTGGCTGGGTTTCCCCAGCCACTCTGGGCAGCTTCCAACAAAAGATTAAAAATACATTAAAACATCAGTCATTAAAAACTTCTCTAAACAGGCCTTAATGCCTGTCTCTTTCTCCTAGCACCTATCTCCAAGTTGCAGCCCCAGTTTGATAAAAATAAAAGAACTTCCCTTAAAATAACCAAGAAACTACACACAGCATGGAGTTCCACCCTCACTTTGGATTATTTTTGGGAGCTTGTACGAAGCCCGCTCTGACGGACCCTTATGCAGCTCAGCTGATGGGCAACTAGTCAATACCCTGTTATGAGTGCTTACTAGGGATCCTTAGGGATTTCATTTGGTCCACATTTTTAAGTGATTTGCATCCTTCAATTTACGCACTCTTCCAAAATTTGTGATAAAGTTCTCAGCTCAAAAAAAGTGCCAAAATCCAAATGAAAACATGTACAGTCATACCTCGGGTTAAATTTGCTTCAGTTGAGTGCATTCGAGTTGCGCTCCGTGGCAACCCGGAAGTAACGGAGCACGTTACTTCCGGGTTTCGCCACTTGCACATGTGCGGATGCTCAAAATGACGTCACGCGCATGCGCAGAAGTGGCGAAAAGCGACGTGTGCGTGCGCAGACGTGCCGTCGCTAGATACATTTACCTCTAGATGCGAACGGGGCTCCGGAACAGAGGTACCTTGTATCTAGAGGTACCACTGTATTTACTAGGTTAGAGTGCAGACATAAAAGTGCACATTAGGATAAAATGCCTATTAAAATACATATGGTGTGGGGGGGAGATATGTTAAAATATAGTGGAATTTTCATGTGATTTTAAAAGAAATGGCAAATTGATGGGAACGTAGGACAGAAAAAAATTACGAATGATCATATTAAAAATTTACACAGACGGAGAATAGAATGATCTGTCCATCCCCAGAGCTTCTGTCCAGCCCTACCCTTGCAAACATGTACCTGGGACCGCCACCCATCAGGAGGAAAGCAACTGGGGAGGAGGGGCTGAGTGGGCAAAATGCTCAAACGTTCAGCTTCCAGTGGCTGCGTTTCTTTTCACTTAGACAAAGGAGCGTTGTTCAGTACTGCAGAACTATTTTGCTCAGGCCCTTGAGATGCAAGAGAGTAGCACTCCTTGAGTCAGGAGCAAGAGGGTGGCAACTGTAGGTTTCCAGGGAATGGAAGAGAAATGGGGCAGAATGAGAATACCATGCAGATGCAACTCTGTTCCTCATGGTTTCAAGTAGCAATGAAGGAGAGCAAAGGATCTGCTGACTCTTCCAGGAACCTGAGTAGCTGCAAGCTGTGCTGTTTCTCCTTAATTCAAGCCAGACTTTAGTGCCAGTTGAGTGTGTCCTACTCCCAGAATGGGATTACTCTTCAGTGCATTTGCTTTTTATCCTTGTACATTTTCCTAACACCATCACATAGGGCAAGCCAGAGGAATATGTAACCCTCCTGAGGTTGTTACTATAGCTCCCACTATCTCTGATGGTTAGCTCCATCTGGCTGGGGCTGCGGGGAGTTGAAGTCCAACAAAATCTGGAAGGTCACAGTTTCTCCATCTTTGATGTAGTGAATCAGTATATGACTTCAGGTAAGAGTTTAACTTTGCTTACTGGATTTCAATAGCCTAGGCATACTGAATGCAGAGTCTTGTGCAGCAAACTGTTTAACCAGAACAGGAGGGAGAAGAAGGGTACATGGTAACGTGAATATTTAACTTTCCATTATGTTCTCTGTTTAGCAGATAACATTGTCCTAGAATATGTTAACTCGTAAGAGTATGATGTAATAGTGCAGCTCATAACAACAAGGCTCAATGAAATATGAGATTCAGGGTTAAGTTCAGGTTCTCTACGCCAATTTTGTCTGATGTTACTTGTAATGTTTCCAGACATACCAAGGCCTAGGGACTGAACACATTTCCTCGCTCTGATTAAGAAACTACTCCAAATACATCAAAGACAGCATTTTATTTTATTTTATGCCATGGCTGATTTAGCACTAAATCTGAATCGAAGCATAAATATGCCACTAAGATGCCGGGGCTGGCAGAGGAAGGAAATGCAGTTTCTGTTCTGGACTGAACCACCCAAACAGATTCTGCCCTAGCCCAGTCCGCCAGTAAGAGCAGAAGCAATCAACACACTCCCCATATCATTTCCACTACTGTCAGGCATGCTAAGGGGAGCTAGGAGACGACTATTGGTCAAATGCGCTGTCCCAATGGGTTCAGCGAGAGAATGGCCACACTGCCTTTCCTATAAAGTAGTGACTGAACCCAGAGGTGGGATTTTACTAGGCCCAGCAGAGTGAGATGACGGGTAATGGGGGCAATGAATGGTGGTGGTGAGCTGTGTGAACCTGTCTGACCTGCCCTGGATCACCAAAACTAGCCTAGTGTCCTCAAGTGTGGTGGAGGATGCTGTTCCCTCAGCTGTGTTGAAGTAAGATTCAGTTACCAATCTGGTTTGGTCTGGTACCTGGGATGCGAGAGGGCACCATCTTGTCTTTCACCTCAGGAGGCAAAATGTCTTAGGCCAGCTCTAAAGGTAAAGGGTAAAGGGACTCCTGACCATTAGGTCCAGTCGTGGCTGACTGGGGTTGCGGCTCTCATTTCGCTTTATTGGCCGAGGGAGCCGGCGTACAGCTTCTGGGTTATGTGGCCAGCCTGACTAAGCCACTTCTGGCAAACCAGAGCAGCGCACGGAAATGCCGTTTACCTTCCCGCCGGAGCGGTACCTATTTATCTACTTGCACTTTGACGTGCTTTCAAACTGCTAGGTTGGCAGGAGCAGGGACCGAGCAATGGGAGCTCACCCCGTCACAGGGATTCAAACCACCGACCTTCTGATCAGCAAGCCCTAGGCTCTGTGGTTTAACCCACAGCGCCACCAGCTCTACTCCCAAGCAATCACCACTCATGACATAACCCTCCCTCTGCCTTGCAAGCAGGACCTAAATTAAGACCCATTCAGTACCTGCAGCTTTTGAGTGCCATGGAGCTCTGGAAAGTGCCTATTCTGCAAAGTGCCTCTCGGGGCGATCTGATATAGTGCAGTGGATTTGCTGTTGGGAGTGTTTTAACATTGTGCCGCTTGTGAGAAGTATACCCAGGATCCAACGCACTGTGAAACTAGCTGTGTGAGCATAAGGTAGGCTGTAACGGCAAATTGCTTTGGAAGCCCACAGGAATTTCAAAAGCACTTTGCAGCAACACTGTTTGTGGCATGTGTGTGTCAATTGCTGAAAGACACAAAATTCCACTGGGCTACTGTGAACATTTCTTCGGATTCCAGGCATAGCATGCTGCACTCCAAAATAAGCTGAGAAAGGTAAATGGTTTTTAAATGAGGATAAATAAACAAGAGATTATTAGTGCAGAGACAAAAATCCAGCAACAGCTAGTTGCTCTATTCTACTCATAATACTAATGGCTCTCTCTGGGATGCTAACACAATAATTCATAACAGCAATGATAAATAAAAGCCCTGGCATGCTATAACTGTCCTGTGATAGCCTATTGTAGCCTAAACAAATACCTAACGAAACTAATGAAATCTACAAAACTTCAGTGTGGTTTGAGGCTGAATTCAAATGCACACCAGACTGGGAGTAAGCCCCCGTGAAATTAGTGGTTCTTGCATCAGAATAAACCCGGATGGGACTGGGCTTCACATTTGACTAGTTTGTAGCCTAAATGTTCTTTAAAATTTGAAATACAGACATGTATGGATGGAACCAGCGGTTTCCCCCTGACTGTGGCTATCAGAATTAATGACTTTGTTTGCAGAATGAAGAGCCAATATTTGTGAGTTGATCAAAATGTCACAAAGAACAAATCAGCAAGGTACATTGGTCTACATTTTATGTACAGTATTGAGAACACAATGAAATGATAACTGGACTGATGTTAGTACAAGGACATACTGTATGATTTTTGCACTGTGTGAATGCATTGTTCAAAATATTGCACAAGGCACAATTTAGTTTGAGATTTTTCAAGACACTGGAGAAAAGTTAAGTATTTTAATCTCATAGGCATTTATTCTTGGCAAATTTATAATAATATATAAAGTTCATCATCATTATTGGTACAAGTCTGTCCGTTACTTATACTAAATTCCTTGGTCACTGCATGGATAATAACAAGAACAAGAACGAATGCCTGACCTGGACCCTTGGTGATTATTGAATTGACAGGCACAATCAATATATAGAAATTTTAACAGCTGTAAGAAAACAGTGTCTTTCCATTTGCTTCAATAAATTTATGTCAACACAGATCCCACAACCCAACTCTGTAACTATATATACTGAACACCAGAAAGCCTTCTAATATAATATAGTTATCTACAAGACTGTACAATACATTGTTACCCTGCAATCCAAAGCTCTGCAAGAGCCCAACCGAGCTCTAAGTTTTGTGTGAGGTGGTGATGGCCCAATCATTTCAGTGTTGGGGGGGTGATGCTACAGGTGCACACGCCAGCCAAGCTGCTGCGTAAGACATTTTGCACTGAGGAGGCCTAAAAAGATGTCAGTTATGGGGAAATCAATGCAGAACAGTTGGAATCTAACTAAAGTAGCCTAATATGTTTATAGTTATGTAGCAGCATTACATTTTATTATGAGGGTGTGACTTCAAAAAAGGGTTATATAAGGATATAACTTGGGGGAGGGGCAAACCCTCCTTGTCAGTTAGCCCAGTAAAGGGCTCTCATTGACAAACAAACTGCGAGGAAAATATCAATTTATTTCTTAAGGAGCTACTGGAATAAAATACTAGATGTATGTGTGTGTGTTTTTTCTTTACATGGCCACAAATAAAAGGTCTATTTAGCTTGCCTTGCAGTCTTATTGGTGGTGGTGAGGTTTTATGGTGACTGCTCTGCCATATCCACAGCCCCACCAGCTTATTTCATGGTGGTTGCTCTGCCATATCAAAAACCCTGCCAGGGTCAGCTTTCCACCACCATTTGGTTTGGTTTGGTTGTTCATTCCCTTCAACTGATATCAGTGAGGGAGGGAGGAATCACTATGCCATCTTCAGGGCTGGTATAGTTCTTTGCCCTTTTCAGGGGCATGTCAGCAAAATGAGGGGACCTTGGATCTTGTGTCTCTAAGCCAGGCATCCCCAAACTCGGCCCTCCAGCTGTTTTGGGCCTAGCTAACAGGACCAGTGGTCAGGGATGATGGGAATTGTTTTGTAGTTCCAAAACAGCTGTAGGGCTGCTGAGTCTGAGGATGCCTGCTCTAAGCCCTCCCCCCAAAAAATTATCCACATTCTACCTGCCCTCTTTCACGCTTAACACCAGTGGGTATCTGTGCCCACAGATCTTAGCATCTTCTCGGGTAAGGTACATCACCACAGAAAAGCACTTGCACCACTTCAAATGGTCCCTTAGCAGGCCTTTGGCCAGCTTTAGGATTGCTTTGTTCGTATTTTAAAAGCAGAGGATCAACAGCAGTTGTATAGGGAGGGTGGGAAAGCCATCGAAAGCCAAAAGAAAAAGAGTAGATATGATTTCCAATGTGTGACAAGGAAACCCCTTCATCAAGGTGTTGTTGGTTAAAAAAAAAGAAATGCTTCTGAAGGACAGGTTGATGGGGGAGGGTTTTCCAGAGCAGCACACCTAAGCATTCCATTTCCTCTTTTTATTTTATGGGGTGCTGTCTACCTTGTGGCTACAGCCCTGAACATTTCCCCAGTTTTATGTGAATGAGACAGCCCTGGCTTGTGTAGATTGCTATGGTGCACCATAGCTGCCAAACAACAAAGAGCCTCAAATAATCAAGTTAGTTTTCAGTCAGAAATCACAATGGATGCAGTCGCTGCCACTACCTTTCAAGACGGTTAAACCATGAAAATCTGGTCACAGACCATGAGCATAATTATGCTACCGAATTAGGCTAATGACTACGAATGGTATCAAGTCACTGGGACATATTTTATGTAATAACCTGAGATGCTTAGAAACAATAACAGTGGCTAATACTGCCTATTAGGTCGTGAGTCAGCCTGCATACTGAGTTAATCAAATGTGGTGCCTCAGAATTAGGACTTAAGTCCTAATTTACCATCTCAGTGTGCTTTGTCCCTGTGTACATTTGTGTAAATTGAGCTGCCCTTGGGATACAACTAGATGTGGCATTAGGAGACCTGGGACCAGAACTCCTGCTCTGTTTTTTTGTTTTAAAGAAAAGGACTTTAATGGCAGCTGTGGGGTCAGGAGACTCTAATCAGGGCTGCGGGACTGGGCTCAAGAGTGATAAACCTTGCTCCCTGCCTCATTTTCCCAATTAAACACCCACACAGACATTTAAGCTGCTAGTTACCCTGTGGGACAAAATATACGGGTACAGGTAGTTTCTTTACAAAACTCAGTCAAATATATTTGTGGATACTGCTGTCAAAGTTACTGTGTGTATGAACTGCACAATTTTAAGACCCAGTGACTTACAAGAGAGGGTGTTAAGCATGTAACCAACTATCACCAGTATAGATATTAAAATAATAGTTAGGATTACACATCACACCCCATGGATGCTAAAGGGTGTGATGTGTAATCCTAACAATCCTTACCTAGAGGAAGGTGCCGCTTAGCCAGGGTGATTTACTCCCCTTGCATGTGTGCTTAACATTGGGGCCTTAAAGTGCTAATCCTAGGCTGGACAGGGTCCACGACTAGCTATTTAATTCTGTTAATCCTGTTCATTTTTCATTTTGAATTACACACACCTTTAAATAACTCAGATGCAGTTAGCGAATCGTGTAAATTTAAGTATAATCTGCAGGTTTTGGAGTAATACTTCAATGGCAGTCTGTTGCTTCTGACACAGGAAGGTATTTTCTAAGACTAAGGCTGAAATCCTTGCTTCTGAGTTAACACATGGTTAGGATTCTGCTGCAAAACAGCTGCTCAAAGCAGAACGGCCTGATTCTGTTTAGAAGTGGGTTTATGCTAAAGGCTTGAGTCTTATGTGGGGGAGGGGGCCCATGGTAATCTACCCCATTTACTACCATTCCTCTGAAAACATTTATTTCCCCCATTCCTACAGTAATGATATTGGGGGGGGGTCCCATTTTTTTCTAATTGCTTAGTGTGGGGAACAGATACATAAGAATATAGATAGCTATCAAGTCGAGACAGCTGGCCCATCTGACTAACTATTTTCAATACTAACTGGCAGAGGATTTCAAAGATTTCAGGCAGAAGTAGTCCTACTTGGAAATGGCACAGATAGATACCTGGGAACTTCTACAATGAAAAGTATATTTTCTACCACTGAGCTACAGTCTTTCCAGGTATACCTGCAGGTATTCTTTGGGCAGGGAGGATAAAATCTGGGAAAAGAAGGGGTAACACCTCCCCCCCCCCCGGAAATAGTATGCATTCCCAATTAAAATATACTCTTTTAAATAAATACAGTTAACAAATTTAAAGGCAGAAATGTATCAATGCACAAAGAAAAAGACTCAAAAACGTTCTTTTGATGAGAGCTTCAAGCAGAAATAGACCCAACTTTCATAATATATTAGGGATTAGATAGATTTGCTCTGGTTTTTACAAGCAGCGAAAAGGGGGTAGGGACCAGCAGCAGTTGAACCACAGAAATGAAAGTGACAGTTTAAAGTTCCTCAGTGAGGGAGAGGGGAAGATGTTGACTTCTTTAAAGCATTGTGCTTGATCCCTGAAACTATATCATCTGTTGCGGGAGCTTTGGGAGCTATAGTCTTTCATCGTCACTGTCACTAATTTTCTTAAATGCAATGGGGCTCGCTTGCTTCAAAGAGGTCTTTGAAATGTCTGTATGCATGGTGGACATGGCTATCGTCTCGTAGTCATCATCCCTAGGGTGGAAATCGCAAAAGCGAAAGAAAACCTGCAAATCCCTCTGGAAGTTCTTGTTGAGGAACCCATAAAAGATGGGGTTCACGCAGGTAGAGATCATAGCCGTGAGGTGACAGATCAGGAACAGCAAATTGTGGCTGCAAGAAGCAACAGGTAGAATTTCATGGTTCCAGTCAAAGACTGTGTTAAAAACGGTCAGAGGGAGCCAGCACACCGCAAAGGCCACCACAATCGAGATGAGCATGATGTTGATCCTTTTCGTTTCAGTGGATCGGTATTTATTGTCTCTCATCTTATCCATCATGTTGCTCCTCCTTTTTAAGCGCATGTATATCTGCGGGAAAACAAAAATTCAAAAACAACTGTGTAACCTAAAACTGTGGATCCTACAGGCATTTCTTTGGAGGAAACAAAGAACGGGTAAGACACATCACGAAAACAAGATTCTCTCTTACCTTTAAGTAGCAAATAAATATAAAGCAAAGGGGTCCCAAGTACTGTATCACCAAGAGAGCTGTGGTATACGAGAGCCTGATTGTCTCCAGTGGAAAGGAATCCAAGCACACGTACTTCCCTTTGTATTCCTCTATTGTTAGATTGGTGAAAGGTTCATCAGTCAGTATGTGATACACCAGGAAAGGCAAAGATGAAGCCACTGCTAGAGTCCAGATCGCAGCAATCCCTATGTAGGCATGTCTGTTGTTTGGCCTCCAGCCACGAGGGTTGATAATCAGCTGGTGGCGCTCAATAGCAATGAGGACCAAAGAGAAAACTGAGACTGTGATGGAGACACACTGCACAAAAGGGTTCAGCTTGCACATGGCCTCGCCAAAGACCCAGTGATCCATTAAGGTGTAGACAAAGGTGAAGGGAAGACACATGATGGTGATGAGGAGGTCCGAAAAGGAAAGGTTGACAATGAGGATGTTAGTCACGTTGCGCATCTCCTTTTGTTTTAAGATGATGATGATCAAGGCCAGGTTCCCAGAGATGCCCAGAAGGATGACGGCCCCGTAAGCCAGAGCCAAGGTGAACACCATCGCCAAAGGCACGTGACAGTCTTCATCCTCAAAGTGAACAAGTCCAGAAGCCTCCTTTGAGACATTCTGAATGGAATAGTTTCCTGCCGAGGAAAGAAGTGATGAATTCATGTTGGGCTTCCCCACACGCACACAACAATCTGGGCCCACGCTGAGCAGTGGTCTGAAACGGCAATCGGTTTCTCAGAAGCACATTCAAGGCGTTAATGTTGTTCTCCTTACACAAAGAACAGGCTCCCAGCAGAAGCTGCCACAGAAATGTTCATGCCATCAATAATGCACAACCTGCAAAGGCAAAAATAATGCACATGGATTTTTCTTGGGTTTTCAGAAATGGAGGGAGGTGTTTTGTACTTTATTGGAAAACCAGGGACCTTCTTAATCACAGTTGGAATATTTATTCCTCCTCACTGCCAGGAATAGGCTATTGTTTTCTATTATGTAGTGGCTGTTTAAACCTGAATTTTCACTGCTGAGGTAATATTCAGAAGGGACTGTAGGGTTATCAGTTGCGTGTCAAGGCCCCAAGCCAGCCCCCCATAAGAAATAAATTCACACTAACACAGAATTTTGGTTTAAGTTTAATGGGCAAAATTTAGGCCACAACTTTCTTGATTACGGTAAATGTATTGGCTTAGGCATTGGCAATAGACTATATCTGACTCCTGCCCACCTTGCAGGGAGTCATGAAAGGGTAAACCACCGAAAGAGGTACCACATTGGGGGAACCCGCCTGCAGCTCTCCTCCATGTTCCCAGAGGCCTGGCATGGCCCTAGCCCCTCAAGTGGACTTCGGACAAGATCCAGGCCCCGGATTCCTTTAACGGAATACCCTTGGACATGGAGGGGCAGGCAATGGCTGACCTGCCCTTCCCCCCTCCCACATCAATAAGCCAATGCCTAACCGCCAAACATTACAAAGTTGTGACGATTGCTAAGAGGTAGGTGAAAACCATGTGGCCAATGCCAGTCTGCCAAATGGAAAAATTCCTACTGGCCCCCGTCCCAAGACAGGTGACCAACCAAAGTCCAAAGCAAGGCCAGAGGACACCTAAAATAAAAGGGCGGGTGGATGAGTGCTTGGCAGCGCGAAGCAGGTGCGCAGCACACGATGCGCTGCCGCTCATATACCACCCCCACCCCCACACACAATCACCTCTCTCAAAGTGTTTGGCCAAGGAGGCCTGGGATGATTGTGGTGCCACCCTGGCGTGGAAGGCCTCACTCCACCTACACTGGGGGGTGGGGTGGAGCTGTATTGAGGGCCTGCCCACAACCAGGATCATTTTTTAAGATGATCCAACTTCTCATTCCCCACAGCAGGCGTGGCTAACCTATGGTGCCTCCAGATTGCATTGGAGTACAACTCTTATCATCCCTAACCATTGGCCATGCTGATGGGCACTAGAATCCTACAACAACTGAACGCCCACATGCAAAGCTCCCCTGCCCTGCACAGAGACAATATTAATTAGACCTACATCTTTGTACCCAGAGAAAGGATTCCTCTTTGCATAAAGCTTAATTGCAATGCATTGCACCCAAAGACAACAAGCAATATCGGGTTGACTCACAGGCATCTGGCTGAAAGTCGTTCCTGGGGTGCGTGTTCCCAAGGACTTTGAGACAATAACCACGGGAGATCTACACATGCTGCTAGTTTTAGTGCCCAATGTTAAGCATGTTTACCCAGAAGCAGTGCTGGATTAACACACAAGCTAAGTAAGCTGCAGTTTAGCACCCCCTAGATACTAAATTTCAACTTTTACATAAATTATTTAAAAATCAAAAGGAGCAGGGTGAAGAAATTCTGAAACCAGACATTATTGTTCTGTTGTATATATACTTAATAACTATGCAATTATTGGTCATATCACGTACAGAAATAACCACAATTAATATCAAAATTTCATTCGGCCAGGTGTCCATAAGCCGTCAAAGAGCACTGGTGGCAGACCATACCAGGCTTGACTGCAGAAAATATTTGGCCTAATCATAAATTAGTCTCATGTCTCATTTCAAATGTTCTTTTTTAAAAAAAATCATGGAAGTGATTTAATTTTGATGTCATGTGTAGAACACACCTAGTGCATGTTGTATTGTTTCTTCCAGTGAATAAGTGTTATAAGTGCTCTTGCGTTGCTGGAACACAAAGTATTCAAATATGCTAACTAAGAAATCATAAGGCAGCTTCACTTACAAGTTATTCCACATGCAAAAAGGCTTATTGCAAAAATATTCATTTTAGTTAGATTGTTTCGTTTTTGGCTGCCTCCTTGCCTATGTGGTGGAATGTCTGCAAATATAAAAGCGTGTTGTTTCGATTTTCATTGTCCTTTCTGTTGAAATAATAAACATTTTTGGGTAATGCTCTGGGGCCTCTTAAACTTGACACAACCCTGCTCAGAAGTAAGTACTACTGAGTTGAAATGCAATTTTCTGCCAAGTAAGTGTGTCTAAGGTTACAATAGCGCAGCCAAATATAAGAGAGCCTCAACAGGAAATCTATCATTGTGCCAGCATAAACCCGCAGATGAGTTACGATTAAGAATGATGCCATGATACATTCATCTGCATTATTTTCTGACACTCAGTTCAAGGGTTTAGCTGCCATAATTTGGAATTCAGACTGCACGGTCACATATAGGAACTTTTCTATAGACCCAGAGCATACGAGATTCCAGCAGTAAACACAGTTTAATGATCAAACCGAGTACTTCTTGAGTACTAACAAAACAACACATAACACATTCTTGGCCAGTTCAAAGCACTTATTCATTTGGAAAGGTCATGGAGCAGAGAAACACTAAGCAATCATCAATCTCATTCACATTAGGAATAATATTGCAGGTCACTGTGAGAAGCTCAATCCTCAAAGAAATCAAATGGAGGGGGCCAGCCCACTGAAAAATTTCCAGTCACCAGTCAGGCTGAGAGCTCATGAAAGTTCTCTCAAAGGTGAAGACTCCTTGCCCTTCAATATCATCCTAATGCAGGATTAGCCAATGTGGTGCCCTGCAGAGGTTGTCACAGAATACAACTCCCATCACCTCTGACCATTTACCATCCCAGCTGGGGCTGATGGAAGTTGTAGTCCAACATTGGGTCACCACATTGCCTACCTTTGTCCTAATGTCCCCAGAATTCAAAGACCATGATCAAGATGTATTCCTTGGTTCTTCAGTCACATTGCAAAAGCATGAAGTTTGACATGCGCTGCAGGGTTAAAATGACAAGCGCCTAGAATTCTGCGTACAGATATAGGTTCAGATGATTGAAGTTAATTGCTAAGTATTTCATTCCAATAGATGTTGCTACAGGTTTGTTTTGTTTTTAAATTTGTTCTTGTTCTTTATATTGTAACGTACAGCAAATGTCAGTGGAGCAGCACGGTTCAGAATAAATTCCATGCACATACAAAACTGAAAACATTTTAAAGTGACTCTAAGGAGAGGGGTTAAAATGACTTGTGACCGACCCAGCTGAACACAGGGCAGTAGATATATATGATGGTCCACTAGAGGTGTGGTAAACCTTATGGGTTTGCCTCCTTTCTGCCTGCCTGCCTGAGATCTCAAAGACAGAAGGGCACGATGCAATAAATAGACTGAGGACTGCATTTGGATTGGTGGGTCACTAGTTGTAAATGCCTGAGATATAGATAGATGATAGATAGATAGATAGATAGATAGATAGATAGATAGATAGATAGATATAATGGAGCTATACTTTCAGTTCAAGGATCTAATTAGCTGTGATAAGCACCTGAGTGGCTGTCACACACACACACCCCGCCCCCCAGATCTCCTTGGAGCTTGCTGCCACCTTGCCAGGCCCCTACACAGTGGTGAGAGGATGCTACATTCTCCATCCACCTCACGACCCACCACAGCACAAATCCTGTGCTTTGTGCTTTGGATTCTCTCTCCTTCCCCCCGCCCCCCAAACCAGCCTCCCTAAGCCACCCACAATCTGGACTGGGATCACAGCCTGAGGGGGAGGGGAGAGTTAACCCTTTCTTTCTGAACCTTTTCCCTACCAAGCCCCCACCCCACCCCCGCTACCTTTAAAACAAAAAAACAAAACAAAACCATATTGTGTTTCTGAGCTGGATCATGCCCCACACACTTTTAAAGTGGAGAATTCCAAGCACGGCTTCAGAGATAGACACATTTAACTTGCCATTGGGTTTGGCACTGATCTAGTCAGTGGTGACTGGTGCCCATTGGGACAGAAGGCAAGGAGACCAATAGGCAGAGCCTGATGATGATAGTTTTGTTCCCATCCTCCTCCCTGCTGAGTGCTACAAGGGGCAGGATGCTGACAGTCAGTGCTACCCCATGGAGTGCTTGTAAATAAGTAAACATGCGGGCAGGTGGGGGCTGGCTGAGGGCAGAGTGAGGCTGGTGCCCCATTCACCCTAATGAGCCAACCTCCACTATATATATATCTTTTGTGTTGTGACCTACTCTGAACCTCTTCTTTTTCTTTATTCCCCTTTACTCCCACTTAAAAAAAAAATCCTTTTGGCCATGCTCTTTTCAGCTACCAAGAGACAAGCGCCCAGTGCATTGGAGCAGAGTTACTCCAACGGTTCTTGCAAGCAGTCTCCTTCCCTAGTTAATATTCCAGCTGGCCCCCGGAAGAACAGTAGGGGGCCGAGCACAAATAAGCTATCCTGGTTGCTTTCATCTCTGGCAGAACTGCTGTCTAGCAGGGATAGGGCAGCCACTGAGGAGACAGGAACAAAATGAAAAGGATTCAAAATTAAAGAGGATTTGAGGAGGGAAAGAGCAAATCAATATTTATCCACGGAACTCAAACATACACACAACAGAGCAATCTCTTGCCATTTATGAAAAGGCAGCATAGAAAGACAGAATCAATGGAAACTTAAACCAGCAATTAATTGACCCACATTTGATGCAATCAATAGACCGCAAAGCCTTGTGGGGTATTTCCCCCCTCTTCTGAAACCTCTTCATGCAACTTAAGTTTCCCCTTAAATGTAAAGGCTTGAGCTGAAGGCTGAGTTTACCAAGGCAGCCCACAGCCTTGATCCATAAGAGCACCTACTTTTCATTGGCTTATATCACAGATGGGGAACCTTTAGCTCGTGGGCCAGAGGTGGCCTGTGGGTCCCTCCAACCTGGCCCACAGCCTCTCCTCCTCAGCCCCTTGCCTGTGCTTAAAAGGGGAGCTGGTGCTAACAGAAACCTGACTGCTGTCCAGTGGGGTGAGAAGCAAATACAGTGGTACCTCGGGTTAAGTACTTAATTCGTTCCAGAGGTCCGTTCTTAACCTGAAACTGGTTAAGAAGCACCACTTTAGCTAATGGGGCCTCCCGCTGCTCCCACGCCACCACCAGAGCACGATTTCTGTTCTCATCCTGAAGCAAAGTTCTTAACCCGAGATACTATTTCTGGGTTAGCGGAGTCTGTAACCTGAAGCGTATGTAACCTGAGGTACCACTGTACAGCTGGAAAGGAAGAAGGGAATAAAATAATACATTCCAGCCATACTAGAAGAGTCACAGTTTCACACACACACACACACACACACACACACACACACTTCCATTCAGGCCCTATCAACTTTCAAGGAAGGCACATTTCAGCCAGGCAAAAGTACTTGTGAGAGAACGGAGCAAAACTGGTGAGGTTCTGAGGCTTACGGAGGGGAGGGAAGAGTCCTGAGGATTAGATAGGGAGGCCCCTAAGCCTGAGCTTCCCCACCAGCTTAAGCCCAAACCAGCTTCAACGGTCTTTGGAGCTTGCTGGCTGCCCTGTTACTTTCCTCCGAGTTCTGATAAACAAACTAGCTTCATTTCTCGTGGTCAGCAAATGCAACATAGATGACAAACATGAAAGCTACAATAGTGGAAGTGTGGTAGAAGAAGACATGGCATTTCAACCAGGGAGGTTATCATTCACCAGCATCCACTGCATGCCCTCCAACATTTCTCTGTTGAAAATAGAGACGTCTCACTCCATAATGATAATTTTACTATTTATACCCCACACATCTAACTGGGTTGCCCCAACCGCTCTGAGCAGCTTCCAACATATATAAAAATCTAATAAAACATTAAACATTATTTTTTAAAAAAAAAAAAAAACCCTTCCCTATACAGGATTGCCTTCAGACAGCTTGGGGGTCAAATAACTCCATGTCGTCCAACATTTGTCCAATAAAAATAGGGACATCCTAAGGAAAAGTGGGACGTTCTGAGATCAAATCAGAAACCAGGATGGCTTCTGTAAATCCGGGACTGTCTCTGGAAAATAGGGACACTTGGAGGGTCTGGTCTGCCACTGTGGTGTGTCTGGTTTTTTTAACAGGAAGTCTAACACAGGAGGTAAGATGAACCAAGCGCCCAAGCAAGGTTTCAGTAACAGGACTTAGATTGGACTAGAAAGCAGAGCCCCTCAGCATGGAGAAAAGGTGAGCTTCTCCATTTAAAAGAAGACCTAACCTGGGGGGGGGGGGGACTGTAAAGACCTGATGAAGAGAGCACAGCAGAGGTTACATTTTCTGAGAATCCTCCAGAAAAATAATCTCTCAAAGGACCTGTTGATGGCATTCTACCATTGTACTGTTGAGAGTGTATTAACTTATGGTCTGTGTGTGTGGTTTGGGAGCTGCACCGTCAGGGGAAAAAACAATGCTGTCCAGGGCTGTAAAGACTGCAGAGAGAATAATTGGGTGCACTCTTCCCACCTTGGATCAAATCTATGCTCCAGGTGTCATAAGAACGTAACTGTCAATGTTTCCCTTTTTTTAAAGGGAAATTCCCTTATTCCGAATAGGATTCCTTGCAAGAAAAGGGGAAAGTTGACAGCTATGCATAAGAAAGCTGCAGAGATAGTGCAGGACAGTACGCACCCTGGAAATGATCTCTTGCAGCTTCTGCCTTCTGGAAGAAGGTACAGGGTTATAAAGACTAGGACTAGCTGCCTGAGAAACAGTTTTTATCCAAATGCGATTTTGGTTTTAAACAGAGTGTAAGGTAGTCTCTGTGGGAGTATATTGTATTTAATTATGGGGTATCAGAGTTTTTAGGGGGTTAACCAGGCTGGGATAGCTGGGATAGCAGACTTGTTGGTTTTTGAATGTCTGATGTAGATTTTTTCAATTTTATTGTTCTGTATGGGACAATGACAATAAAGATTATCGTATCGTATCATATAAAAGGCACGTCATCTATGCATCTAGAGCTTAGAGGAAGAGCTTCCAGGCTAGATGGTGGAGTTGCATTCATGCGCCAACATCTCTCATTTTAGAAACATGTGGTGTGATCCTAAACATGTTTAATCAGAAACAGGGCTGCGAGTTTAGCGAATTTTATCAGCATGATGAATCTGTTAAAATATATTGGTCAGCCAAAAAGGTTCCCCTAACTTACTGACCAGCAGGTTTAAATAAAAATAATAATTTAGATGTTGTTGTTGTTAATTTATTTAATTTGTTATTCACCTAATGGCCTCTCTGCAATTTACAGCCAGGTTTTAAAACATGCATTTGTAAAAACAAAAGCCACCAAAAGTTAAACAACTGATCAGAACATAAAATGAACACCAGATTCCAAATGGGATGGGGGCTTTATCAGCAACCTAGACTGCTAGCAATAGAAATCTTAGCTGGGTCATATTCTCGAAGCTACCAGCATGAGTTTGACCAAACTGCAGGAGGCAGTGGAAGACAGGAGTGCCTGGCGTGCTCTGGTCCATGGGGTCACGAAGAGTCGGACACGACTAAACGACTAAACAACAACAACATTCCATCAAATGCCCAGATGGAGAGAAGAGTCTTAATGTGGTGCCAAAAATATGTCAATGTCAGTTCTAGGACAGCGTGTCACAGTCTGGAGATCTGGGGATGTCAAGGAGGGACAAAGGAAAAGTCCCTCTCTACTGCTGCCACCCTCCAAAGGTTTCTCAGACGGGGCAAACAGAGAAGGGGCTCAGAGGACACTCATATGGTTCAGGTAGAGTTTTCTTAACAACAACAACAACAACAACAACAACAATTTGCACAACAAAATTGATAAAATGGATGACAGAATTTACTAATAAAACAGCAGATGACAAGCACCATCTTAGACAGGGAAGGGGAATCTGTGTTCCTGCAGATTTTCGTGGATTCTGGCTCCAACACCCATCCCTGAGCATTGGACATGCTGGCTGAGATGGTTTAGAGTTGTCATCTAGCAATATCTGAAGGGCCAGTGGCCCAATGCTCAGGGATGGGTGTTGGAGCCGGAATCCACGAAAATCTGCAGGAACACAGGTTCCCCTTCCCTGTCTAAGATGGTGCTTGTCATCTGCTGTTTTTATTAGCAAATTAGTACATTAGTAAATTAGTAAATATGAAGCATCTATATATTAGAAGAGGTATTCCCTTCTGTGTGACAGAGAAGAGGGAATGTGTCTTCTCAGTGATGCTTGCTGCAACATGTATCATCATCTAAAAATGAAGTGCATATTATTCCCTTATTTTTTTTCTCCTTTATGCATATTGAATAATCAATCAATTAAAATTCATTTTGGGCTTTTCCAGGTTTGCACTTTATTTAGCTGCTAATACACTTCCCCTCTATTTGAGTTAGATGGGGGCTGCCCACACCTGCACATATCTGAATTTGTATATGAGGTGCAGCTTCAGTTCTTCCTGTTCATGCCTGTAGCTGTTCTGTGCTTGTCCCTGTCTTCCAATTGGTTAATACTATTATGCCAGTTAAGTACTGTCAGGGCATGTGTGCAGGTAGATGCATGAGCCTTGTTTTTAATAAACATTTCACCACCCCACCCAAGAAGTGTGCAAAAGCAAATTCGTTCATTCCGTTTTCTGATTTTGTGCAAAAGAAAGAAAGGAAAACAGCCTTTGCGGAGCACACTGGAAATAGTTACAAGAACGACCACAAAGGAAATGAAAGCAATGAAGAAGTACTGGGTATGGGAAGGGGAGGAGCAGAAAGTGGCAATTGCTCCAATCAACCACAATCACAAAAACAAATAATAATAAGTGATCCCGAGTGGAGTGGTTTGGAAGGGAATTTGCATTATTCCAGTATCAGGTGAGCCTGAATTTACAAGCAGAAGCATTAAGATGGGCATTGTTCAAGGGTAACATCATGTGAACAACACAAATTAAATGTGAATGCAAACAGCTGCAAACACACAGTAAACTGGTGTGGAAGAGCCCATGATTAATCAGTTAAGATTTCTTTCATTGGAAAACTATTCTCCTTCTAGGACCCATGGAGTAAGTTACTTCCTAGCTAAGTATGATTAGTTTTGCAGCCTTACATACTGTACTGTTACACATGACCCCAATCTCCACAGCAGTGCAAGATTCCAGGGGACTGAGCGCTTACACAGGACCTGTGTTTCCTTTAGAAATGAGGCACAGCGAAGAATGTAGTTCATTTACACATATATACAACCTGAGTCCAAGCTGGAGGGCAGCAGCATTGGATTTAAACAGACACCTGCCATTTCTCTGCCTCTCTCTCCAGCCCACTGCTTACTAATTCTGTTGAATAATGCTACAACACTCTGCACGAAGCTTCGGCCCACATTACTCCTAACTCTCTATTCTCTCCCTGGCTTTTTGCAACACAGGCAGAGGAGATGTCCCACTCGCTTTGATCCTGTGTTGTCCTATATTACCCCCAGGCTGCCATCTCAAAGGGGATGCGTCTGACTTAATTAACACTTAATTTATGTTGATTCCCTTGGATTAGCATTGTCTAGCACACAGCCTAATCACAGGGGTTAGGCCTAATGCACACACAGAATCTGGCTATTTCCTGCTTCTAACACCCCCAAGCCTTTGTTAAATTCTAATACTGCTGGTGCCAGGAATTCAGGAAAAACTTAAACTTTGGTATCAGGCTGCATAGGTGCCACCCTAAACACACTAATAGTGCAACAACAACAACAGTGCAATCCTCTTTTACTTCAGTGGGGCTTGCTGTCAGATAAGAGGGAATGGAACTGCCTCTTTGGAATGCATTCCTGTACCACTTAACTGAGAGTTAGCCTCATTGAACCCAATTGTTCCCAGTAGAACAGGATTGCACTGTTAAGTAAGGAAAGGCATGGTTAAGATCATGCTGGTGTTTAATATTCACACCCTGCCTTCTTTCCCATCTATCAAAACTTTCCAAAGTTGATTGCCCTGAGCAAAGGCTGGACTGCCAGGCAAGAGCCTATTCCTGAAAGGGAATCTTGATAAACCTTTCTGACCCAGACACAGGCAAATCCTCACATCAGAACACAGGGGTGCCAACTTGAATACAATATTGGGGGGCATAATCGATCACAAGACGCACACATGCACACCATTTGAATGGCAATGTCCATTGATGGGGATGGAGGGGCTCAAATATTTTATGAGGGGGAGAAGGGACCTTGGCCCCTAGGAGTTGGCTCCTATGTCAAAACATAGCTCAAGAGGATCACAGTCACTGACCAAACTGCAACCCTTTCTGCTTCATTAAAAGGGCAAAAAGCAGGAGGTGTAGACAGAAAACTTACACGGACCCCAATATAGCCCGATCCAGAAACCAGTTAAGCCAAAGGACATAGGATGGGGAGCTGAGGAACTGGCTTCTATGCATGGCAAACTTTTTGACTCAGTGAGACTTGATTCCAAACAAACACGCACACCCAACTCCCTACTCTTAAAACACTTAGAAAAAATCTCTGTTGAAATCTTCTGAATACATTTATACTATTGTTGTTGGGAGAGGCCTATTATTATTATTATTAAGTTGTCTGCCTTCACACATTGAGGATGAGATGTCAGGTGGCAAACGATGTACCCTTCCATGGGAATATGCTCATTGAACTCAATGGGGGAAAATATACATAGGATGAGACTAGACAGTCAAGTGCATCGGCCAGAACGCTCTGTGTGTGTGTGTGTGTGTGTGTGTGTGTGTGTGTGTGTTGAGGGGAGGCAGGGAATTCCAATTTTCCTCTTCAGCCCTTAAGAAGCTCCCACATTAAGTCAGCATCTCCCCCAACCCCCTCTCACGCCTTGCTCCTGAATCCTGGGAAGCTAAAACAGCACCCTTAGAGGAGGGAGGAGGGGGATAGGATCCGCCTGTCTGTGTGGGGACGCAACCAAGGGAGGTTAGGGAAGTGGGATCTAAACCGGCTTCAATCCGATTCATCCTCACGACCAGTCTGTGGAGTGCAGCAGACGTCAGACCGTCTTCCTCCAATTGTCTTCCATTGTTTGAGCCTCTTTGCTTTCATGCAACAAAAGCCCCCACTTAACATGGGGAGAACCCTCCACCAACGACGGACCCCCTCGTGGGAATTGAGGAGACGTGGCTAGTTCGTTTCATCTGCTCTAATTCCATCTGCGCTTTTTCTGCGGAGGAGACCTGAGCCTCCTCTGTGTCTTGGTTCTGGGAAAACGGGGGTCATTTATTTGCCACGACCGCCTTCCTTTCTAATACAACATTACCCACAATGCTGTCCTCCCCGCCCCCCGGGTCTCCTGGAGACCTCGTGCGCTCCTGAGCCGACCGGCTGTAACTTGACACCCACCCCGTCCCATCCCACCGCGTCTCTCCAATCGGACCCTCCAGTCCGGATCTGCCCTAAACATTAACTACAGGCGACTCCCTGCAGCCATAGCTGCTGCGTCTGCCGAAGATTCCTAAGGGTCAAGGTTCAGCGGGGTATTTACTACCCCTTCCGTATACTTTCTGGAAAATAAAGGCTTGGAGAAGGACGGGGAACCTCCAAATGTCTCCAACGCCCATCACCCCTGACCACTGGGGATGCTGGCCGGCGAGGAGGGCAGGCGGAGCCCCACCACATCTGAAGGACTACACAGGCTTCCCACTGTTGTCCCTTTCGACGGAAAGAGCGGTCCCACTTCCCTTCAGCGGGTTACCCTAACCCGAAAAGACTCTCACTTGCAGCAGAAGCTGGATGGCCATCTGTCATGGATGCTTTAGTTGAGATTCCTGCTTTGCAATGGGCTGGGGGACCCCAACCCCCTACAATTCCCCTCCTTTCCTCCCTGTATACCAGCTTCTTCCCTATGTTTACATTCCTCCTGGCTGGGAGAGCCAGGCGTGCGGATAAAAGGGGCCAGAGATCACGCGCCTAGGTCCTTCTGCGAAGCGCTCCGCGCCTCTGCCCGCCCTTTCGCCCTTCGCCGTTGCTGACAGATTCTCCCCAGTTTTTCGGCATCGGCTGGCTTGAAGACCTACAGAACAGCCTTCGGCTCTACTCACAGCTTCTTTCCTCTCTCTTCCAGCAAAAAAGAAAAAGCCCCCTTCTCCCCTCCTCCTCTCCCTCTCTCCCTCCCTCTCTCTCCGATCTTTTCGGAAGTTTTGGTGGCTTGAGATGCGCCCCTTACAAGATGCCCAACAGGCGCGTCCGACGGCGCTGCCTCGGATCGGCTCGACAACTGCGCTCGAAGCGGTTCTCTTCCCATTACTGCGAAGCCCGGGTCTAGCACGTGTCAGATTGGGGAGATGGCTCGTTTCGCGGGCACGGTCATTCCGTCCAATGTGCAAATGGGAACAGGTAAACGCCTTTAGGGGGTGGGGAGAGATCCGCTGGCTTTTTAAAAAAAGGATAATAACAGCCACAAAAGAGTCTCTCACCTGCATTCTTCCTTTCTTCCAAGCACCATCCTAAGTGCTGAAGCGAGAGGATAAGAGACGACTGACTTGGGAAGCGAAAGGCAAAAGAAGGACAGACCCGCTGGCATTTGCCCACCACGGATCCCGAAGATTGGGTGAGCGGAGCAGGAGGCGTCCCCCTTAAAGCTGAACTCCACCTTATTCTCCCACTATCACATGACGGTGTGCGGTGCGGGATGTGAAGATCCCAGCACACGCGCCTCACCTTTAAGCTGCACATCTGGAGGTGGGTTGCCTAGTAATTCCGAAATAAATGTAATTAAGTATGGAAACTGCAGGGAAGGAGGGGGAGCGGGGAGGAAAGGGGCTGGGAAGAGCTCTCGGGTGTGGGAGACAGTTTCTGAAATGCTTCTGCAATCCGGATTTTTGTCGGCGTGGTGGTTTGTGAGCCTGCGCCACCTCGTGGCCCAAGACCGTCGATGCCGAACCCTTCTCTGTGCATGGGATTATGTAAAACGATCATTAGCGGGAGTGGCGGCTGGGATGTGATTTCATGTGCGACCCCCCCCCCCCAAAAAAACCCTGGGCTTTTTCGAATGAGAAAATTCGACTGATGGAGAGGCCCAAACGTTTTGTGTGTGTTTGTGTGTGTATAAAAAAATCTATTAGTTAAATGGAAAACACAAAGAAGATGAGCTATCACTTCTGAAATCAACTAACAGAGCAAAAAAGGTAAAGGTAAAAGGACTGCTGACCATTAGGTCGAGTCGCAGACAACTCTGGGGTTGCGGCACTCATCTCGCGTTACTGGCCGAGGGAGCCGGCGTACATGTGGCCAGCATGGCAAAGCCGCTTCTGGTGAACTAGAGCAGCACACGGAAACACCATTTACCTTCCCGCCGGAGCAGTACCTATTTATCTACTTGCACTTTGACGTGCTTTCGAACTGCTAGGTTGGCAGGAACAGAGCAATACATTAGTCCAGAACTGGAGATATACCACTGCTATGCTGGCAGTACAGAGTACCACATCCAATGTGTGCCCTGCCCAAGATGGCAGGGAGAAATTAGCATAAAATACAAAAGTGATGTTTCTGGGGAAATGACAGTCTCCTGGCATCTCTGGAAACTCCAACCACAGCCCACCATTCCAAAGCTGTGCTGAGCCCAGCGATGCCACTCCCCCACAGAGGCAGTCAATGAACTCAGCACAATTGGGACACACCCATTGCACCCCATCATCACCACAAAATGACAACACGGAACCCCCTACTCTGTTAAGCCATGGTGATGCAGCTAGCAAGCACCCTATTGCCACCAGTCCCCAGGCATGCTCTCAGGCAGGGCTTTGAGTCCACATGTGTTCCTTACTGTGGCATTTGCCCGTTCTTTTTAAAATGCCTGTACAGGGGGAGAGAAAGAGTTAATAGGTAGACCAATAGAAAAGCCAGAGGCAGAGCCTACCTGTTTATAAAAGGGCTTAGTCCATGGTTTGGTTGGTTGGTTGGAAAAAGGCAGTTGGGAAAGCAGTTGGCCGACAGTTGGAATTAGAGAGACAGTTAGTGCAGTTGGTTCTTGAGTGAGGGCAGGTAGAAGAGTTAAGAGACAGGATAAAATAAGACTAAGAAGGTAAAGAGTAACAACATTTTGAATGCAGTTAAAGTTTATTTGTGTTTGCAATAAACTACACTCTTCTTTGTTAACTTAAGAACCTGACTGAGACTAAGTGATTTACCGGGGAGGACCTAGTTGGTGGCAGCGGATTAGTGGTGTACGGGTCAATAGTCCGTGAGACGACCGGGGGGCTCCGTTCGAATGCCACACTTACAACTACTGTTTTTCAGCAAACACACACAAGGGAAGAAAGAGAATCCACATGACATCACTTCTATAGAGCTCCCTGGGCAGACCCACACGCCAACAGACACATTGGACAAGAGTGCAAGACCCACCCAGGGTGGGGCCAGGAGACACAGCAAGTGCAGCCACAGAACATATGAAAAGCCTGCTGGATCAGGCCAGTGGCCCACCTAGGCCAGCATCCTGTTCTCACAGCAGCCAACTAGATGCCTGTGAGAAACCAAAACAGAAGTCCACTCTCCCTGTGCTTTCCTGGAATTCAAAAGCGTACTACCTCCAGCCATGGAACAGAAGCGACATCCAGCAGCTCATTGCATAGGGTAGCAGAGGGGAGCCTAATGAGGTCCTTGTGTTTTGATGGCCTTCCTAGTTAGCCTCCGGGGCTAAATGGTGGCTCAGTACCACTTTCCAAGGAATACAGAGAATATCACAGAATAAATAACTCTGTATGTGGTTTACAAAAATTCATTGACAGTAATGTACCAAAAAAGGAACCATGCAACGGTTGAGCAATGAATTGCCATTTCATAGTTCCTTTTTGGCCCAACCAGAAGAAGATTCATGAAACAGAGATTGAAATCTCATTGTCAGAGTTCTGTTGCAATTGCACCAGCAACAAGTATACACATGGAGAATTATTCTCTTGGACTCATTGCAGGAATATTTGGAATGCCTTTTTAAAAAAAACCTTGATTGCAGGCTTTGCTGGCTTCTTGCCATGCCCAGACATCCTGGATCCTTCTTATTACAGCAGACAACTACAAAGATAAGAGTTTTCTATTTGGAATATTTGACTTCGATATATTGAATTGTGTATGTCACTATGATTTCGGCACTGTAGATAGCATTTAAAACTCTTAAGTATTAGGTGGTGTTGATTACTGTCAATGAATTTTTGTAAACCACATACAGAATTATTTAGTTTGTGATACGCTCTGGTGGCAGCAGCAGCCATCCTGCTTGTGCTCCCTGAGAGGTCTGCTCCCTCGTGGTACAGGGCATCTGAGTGAGCAGGGAAAGGAGGAACTGTGTCCCCTGCCCACCTCCTTCTGAGACCCATCCTGAGGCAGGCAGCTGAAGCTGGGTCATATTAGGGTCTGACCATTGTAGTTGCAGCCCATGTGATAGGGCAGAGCCATGCAGCCACCCTCTGGACACCAGTAGCTCTGCACCTTGGTCACAGCATACAGCTGTATGTACATTGAGCCCGTTTCATTGAACTTGTGTGCAGAACTCCCTAGGCCAGGCTTAGCAAAGCGAAAAGAGCAGAAGTTTGATGCCCGTGGATGTGACTGTTGTGATTGGTGCAGAATGGTGGTTTTTGGCTGCCAAAGTTAAAATGTAAGAGAAATATAGATTTTTGACACCCACGAAAAACAGAATAGATCCTGCATATTGGTGGCTCACGCTTCAGAGGCTGCGAGTCCAAGGCCACATTCATTTTTTTAAAGAAAGAAAATGAAAAGAAACCCAACTGAGAGCACCTTGTTTTGTAGCTGTTGTGGCAGGCTCCAAGCCAAGGGCCAGCTTGTCATTTCAAATTGCCGGATGAATGCCATGAATAATTATCAGTCATACTCCCAACAGACTCAGGATACTAAACAGATACACATCTCAGTGCTCCTGGAAGAAGACTATTGATTAAACAATAACTGGCAAAGGAAAGAAAATGTCAGATTGACTGCTGCGTTTAACCCAGATGCAGTACGTGGAGAGCATATCCATAAGGCCTAGGGTGGTCAGATGAGGGTGTTTCACTAGCCCAGCTTTTTTCATCCTGGCATATTAAGCCAAACTCATTTTATTTTCTAAAGTCCCTCCTTTGCTTCTGGTTGCCCTGTTTAGACTGCATGCAGTTGCTTCTGAGACGGGTTTGGGATAACTGAAGCAGGAGTAGTCAATGTGGTGCCTTCCCAATGTTTTTGGACTACACCTCCCATCATCGCTGCCCTTTGCCATACCAGCTGGGGCTGATGGGAGTTCTAGCCCAATAACCCCTTGAGGGTAACCACACAGACTACCACTGAACTAAAGCCTAATATCTTGATTTAACTTTAGTATCTCACTGATATAGAGCAAGGGATGATCATTGTGCACCTAAAAACTCATTGGTGCTCCTAGACATGGTTTGGCTCCTGGATGTTCAGGTTCCAACTGCAACTATGAGCATTTCTCCATAGCCTTGTTTGTGCACCAGCTGCATCCTTTTCTGGAGAAGGCAGATCTTGCTATTGCCAGCCATGCTTTGGTCCTGTCCAGGTTCAGCTTCTGCCACAAATTCTAAACCTTAAAAACTACAGGTGGTGCAGAGTGCCTTGGCCAAATTGCTTTTGGGTTCCCTTTATAGCTGAGGTGGGAAACTCAGGCTCATGGGCCAAATCCACAACTCCAGGCCAGCCCCCTCACTGGCCTTGGTTCACACCCTCCTTGAGTGATTTTTGCCTGACTGGAAGGTGTCCTTGATCTCTGATAATGACTGTTGTTTGTTCGGATGGAGGACAGAGAGTGTGTATATTCAGAAGCTATGAATGCAGAAGTACAAAGGTGTCCTGGCTCCCAGTTTCAGACTCAGTATTCGGACTCTTGGCTCAGGTATGATGCTTGTTCCAAAATTCACTACAGCTCCCCAACATAGTTCATGTTACAGGTTACAAAGTCAGAAGGCACAGCAGAGCATTAAGGTACATGGCCAGGTGTAAGCTAAGATGCTGTCCAAACAACTGCCATGTCCCATAAGCTTTCCTTTTGCAGAGTGGGGAGGACACGGTCATTCGTGTGGTTGTCCCCAACCTCAAGACTGGGCAAGCAAGTGGGCACTCCTTCAAGTAGGCTAAGCATGCAAACTGTGTTCATGCCACTGAGGCTGCCTTCACGGCCTTGGAGATAGAAGTGGGGCTAGCTTGCTGTCCGATTTATCCATAGGCACCTCTCCTGAGAAGAATGGTTCTTTGCTAACAAGGGGTGGCTGTGGAGTCAAGTTAGCTCACTGGGATGCGGGATACAAAGGATCCATTGACACCTGGACCAGTTGCTGTCCTAACCATCCACTGGACTCCTTACCTGGGTCCTGATCATTGCCTCCCAACCTGCTGGGTCTCCTCCCAAGTCTCCCATTTCCTCCCACTGCCTCCTCCCCATCTGACCACTCACAGCAAGCAGTGCCAACTCACCCATGAGGCGGACTGAAGCAGCCGCCTAGGGTGGCAGAATCTCATGGGATGGAACCCCTGTGAGCGCTCTGTTCCCCCCCCCAACTCACCAAATTAGGTTGCTGTGCAGACGAATCCCCTACATGTTTCCTCCAAAGTAGGTTTCAATTAGTTCCATGGGACTTACTCCCAAGTTAGTGTGCAGAACATTGCAGCTTTAATTAAACTGGGCTTTGAAATCCTGCCCAAAAGTGCCAAGTTCGTAATAAAATCAGCATCCAACAATCTATAATTAGGAAGGCAAAACAGATCAAGAATGTATTGCTCTTTTCTAGGCATTAAGGAACATTGAATTAGCCTTGTAATTAATGTCTACCATGCATTTAAAAACTTCATACTTTTATAACTCCCAGCCCTTCTCAAACAGATTCCTGCCTATTGACGTGTACGCTTCAGTGGAAAAATGTAATCTGAAGGTTTACTGAGTGAAGCACACTAATGGTTTTGGGCTTTCCCTACTCCAACTCCTGTGGGGCGGGGGAATATATTGAAAAATTAAACAGTTGAAAACTTAATCCAGTTGCATCCATATTTTTCTTTAAAACCAAAAACCTCTCAGTAGTTGCTGTTGTGAAATATAAACTCCCAATATTTGCATAAAGGATGGGGGGGTGGATTTGCATTGCATAATGACAAACCCTGCAATCCTCTACTCACCTGAGAATAGGATTCACTTCAGATTAGACCTGGTTAAGTCTCAGAGTGCAATCCTATACACATCTACCCAGCAGCAAATCCCACTGAGTTCAATGGGGCTTATTCCCAGGTAAAGTGGGCATAGTACTGCATGTCTCGTGGACTTCAGAGAGATGCACAGGACTTCCAGGAGTGACATTTGGAGACTGCAAAAGAGTGTGATGGAACCCTTTGCATCCTGGCTATAAAATGTTTCACCTTCAGAGCCCAGCTCTGTGTGTGCCTCTGTGCTAACTATACACCAAGCTGAGGGGACGCAAAATTGAGAAGATCCATAATTGAGAAGGTCCATGTGGAGGCACCAAATTTTGGCCTCACTCTGGGCGCCATAATACCAAAGTCCACCCTTGGGAGTGAGCTGTGGAGAAAGAGGAGGTCAGAGTGGAGTGAATCCGAGCAGCACTGGAAGCCGGTTGGTGAGCACAGCAGAGGAGCAGAACCCCCCTAATACAGCAGATGACAGAGATTTGTTCAGCGCAAGCACACAACACCACTATTCCATCATCCAAGCTGCTTCCCTATTAATTTCTGGGCACAAAATGTTTGTTTTCATCCATAGAAGTCCCTTCAAGTCTACACACATTTCTTCTATCATGACTGTGCCCTTTGAACACTGTATTCAAGCAGCAAGAAGGTGAGAGCTGTTCTTGGTGGAAGCTGTGAAGCTTCTTCCCCACAGAAATGAGACTCAGATTACTTTTGGGAATGCTGCAACACTTTCTTATTTGGGCTGCCGGGTAGGATTCAACACCCAGTTGTGATTTAATGGATTAGGAAAACGTGTCTTGAAATCCCTTTTCAGCCATCTTGCTCACTGCATGACTTAAGCTGACACAGGCGTTCTCCGTCAGCCTAACAGACTGCCCTTTGGCTGCTGTGGTGATAAACAAACTCATGTATGTCACCCTGACCTCCTTTGGTAATAATAATTTTTAAAAGTAAGTGACCTGAAACAAACATTGCAGTGTGGAGTGCTTTTGTTCAGGGTTCCAGCCAGCCAGCCAGCTATACCCTCGTCCAAGACACTCTAATCCATCCTGGATAGCTCAGTTGGTTAGAGTGCGATGCTGATAATGCCAAGGTTGTGGGTTCTATCCCCAAATGGGACAGCTGCATTATTCCTGCATTGCAGGTGATTGAACTAGATGATCCTAAGGGTCCCTTCCAACTCTACAATTCTATGATTTCTTTCATTTCTGTGATCTCTTGCCTGGTTTTTTGTTTCCCACCCACCCCAACAGTCAGCCAGCATTCACAGCGACTCAACACACTCAGCCTTCATTGGGTTATCCTCCCTACTTGCTACTTTTAACTACCGTATTTTTCGCACCATAGGACGCACCGGACAATAGGACGCACTTTGTTTTAGAGGGGGGAGAACAAGAAAAAAAAAATCTCCCCCTCTCTGCCCAGCGCCCCTTCAGCGAAGTGGCAGGCGGCGGTGTGCAGAGAGGGGGAGAACTGTCCCCCTCTTGTTTTCCGCTCTAAAACAAGGTGCCGTTTAAGGAGCGTCCAGGCGGCTGCCTTGAAGCCTGGAGAGCGAGAGGGGTCGGTGTGCACTGACCCCTCTCACTCTCCAGGCTTCAGGTTCCTTTCGACCTGCTCTTTGGGGCTGGCGGGGGGAAGCCCACCACCAGCCCCAAAGAGCAGTTCAGGGAGCAGCGGAAAGGCGCAGCGGAGAGGCTCCTGCCATAGCCCTGCGTCACCTCTCCAGCCGGGAGAGGGTCACGGGGGCTGCTTTCGCCCGCGCGCGCTCCCGGCTGGAGAGGTGACGGGCGGCTATGGCAAGAGCCTCAATAGCCGCCCGTCACCTCTCCAGCCGGGAGAGGGTCGCTGGGGCTGCTTCGCCCGCGCGCGCTCCCGGCTGGAGAGGTGACGGGCGGCTATGGCGCGTCACCTCTCCAGCCGGGAGAGGGTCACGGGGGCTGCTTTCGCCCGCGCGCTCTCCCGGCTGGAGAGGTGACGGGCGGCTATGGCAAGAGCCTCAATAGCCGCCCGTCACCTCTCCAGCCGGGCGAGGGGTGCGGGGGGCTGTGGCGTCTTCGCTGCATAGGACGCACACACATTTTCCCTTCATTTTTGAAGGGAAAAAAGTGCGTCCTATAGAGCAAAAAATACGGTATTTCCCCCTAAGCTTCTTTTTTTGTACTTTGCCATTCCCCCAAGTCTCCTGAGAATTCACTTTTCAGCATGGGTGCCACCATTTTGGCTACATAAACGCCTGCATCTGCACTCTCGTTTGAACAATAGAAATAAAGAGACAGATAAATTAAAGGTCTTGGGTTTAGCAAACATGAGCTAATATTCATTGGTTTTACGATAATGCATTCTACAGTTTAATACAGAGTTTTATCTTACTGATTTGAGCAGAAGTTTCAGTAGTATTAAGTGTCCCCTTGTCCTTCAGGTAGACCAGGAAAAAAATCTAGCAATAAAAACAAATAGATTGACTTAAAAAAAAAGTTATGACACCAGGGTGCAAAACTCTGTACACTTACGTGCAGGTAAGCTCTATTGAGCAGGTCCCAAACTCTATTCCACAAGCATCAGCTGGGTGGGCTGTGGCATGTCTGTGGATTTCAGGTTGAAGACACAAGATGACACATTCATCATATTAAATATTCCTATTGATTTTAATTCATAGACTCATAGTTGGAAGGGACCCAAGGGTTATCTAGTCCAGCCCCCTGCAATACAGGAATTAATAATTGCATTTTATTGCTTCTTTTATTTCTGATATTGTATTTCATTGTATTGCAATAAAAGCAATATAATAAAACACAATGTATAATAAACAATTGAAGCAATAAAATACAATAAAAAATCATACAGTATTTAGCACGGCACATTATAATTGCTACAATAGGCAGAGAGATCCTAAAGTAGTCCACTGAGGCCCTAAGCAATTTGCAAGTGGTCTGGGGAAAGAATGGGAACCATTGTTCTCTTGAACACAGATGAACTTACTCCAGAGTAAACTTACATAGCACTGTGTTGTAAAAGTTGGGAGACCCATACAGTATCTTATGTACCCAGAAGGTATCTTATGTACCCAGCACTTTCCTAAACAGACAAAGAGACGGTGCTTTTAAACAGAAGTCACACCACACCACACATCTAAAGCACACTTATACCGCTTACATGGCAGGCTAGTGTCTGAAACAAAGATGTGCTCTCCCAAGCTCACATTCCCAACATGTTTGCACTCCTCTCTCAGTGACTTCTCTGCTGGCTTGGTCATGTCCACAGAATGGGAGATGGCAGGATCCCCAAGGATGTGCTCTACAGGGAGCTGGCTTCAGGCCCCAGGCCTGTTGGCGGACAAACTCTGTGTTACAAAGATGTCTGCAAACATGGCATGAAGGCTGGCAACATCAACCCCACCATGTGGGAATCCCTTGCTGGCGACTGCAGTACAATCCATAGCAGTAACTGGAGGACGAATGGCTGCTGGTAGGAGCACAGAGAGAAGAAACGCCATGCTGCATTTGCAGCAGCACAACTGGACACCATCATCTGCCCCAGCTGCAACAAAACATGTCTCTCCTGTATCAGTGTCTACAGCAGGTGCTGCAACCTTCTAACAATTTGACTTCACCCTCAAAGTCACATTCTTCCATTGTCTTCCAAAACAGATGGATGCCAGCCAGCCAACCAACCAACCAACCAACCAACCAATACCACTTTAAAAGTCATGGCTTCCCCCAATTAATCCAGAGAACTATAGTTTGTTACAAGCACTGGGAATTTTAAGGAGCCCTCTATTCCCCTCACAGATCTCAACCCCCAGAGGTTCTTGGGAAGAATAATTCATAAACCACCATGAGAATGATAGATCAGTTCTCAGGATTCTTTGGAGAGAAGCCACGGCTGTTGATGTGCTATTATAGTGCTTTAAATGTAAGGTACGGATGTGGCCACATCCCACACTTCAGAACAAGCACTGCTTCTGTTCCTTTGGCTGTGGTATAAAAGTCGCAAATGTTCCACTGAGCAACTTCTAACTTCGCAGAAAGAAACGGCAGAGCTGTCACAGAACATATAATCTAAAGTTCAGGCTAAGTTCAGCATGAAATATTCAGAAGTCCCTAAAACAGCCCCTTGACAGGGGTGTAACCAAGGATTTTTGCACTTCTCTAAAAGATCCCCTTTCAATAAAGCTTTTTCCACACTCCTGCCTTGACGTCCCCTGTAATAATGATGTGACCTTTTGTTTCAGCAGAACTTCAAGAAAGTGTGACTCTTTAATGGCTTGCATAGATGGGATGGGGGAATAAAGACTATAGTCATCGCCATGGCTTTACTTCAGCCAGAAGAAATGCAAGAATATGAGCCCTGCTGGATCAAGCTGTTATAAAATTAGTTAACCCATTTAGCATTTGATAGAATGTATAGAATTTAGCATTGAATAAAAATGTATGTACCTTTGTAATCCCTGCATCTACACTCTATAATGGAACCTATGCATCAATGTTCTAATTTCTATGCCATGTGGACTTCTCAGCCCTGACCCTCCTATCTTTCTAAGTGCTGTTTGCATAGTTTAGGAATGGAATGCTAATGTGAAATTACATTGAATCCTTCCAGGGATAGGAAACTATAGAAATTGTATGTTGTGGACTTTTTGAGGGTCTGGATGTCAAGAAAAAGGACAATAAATGAGTAAAATGTTAAATCCTAAAATGCCAAGGGGCACCCAAGCTAATGGATGGAATGAGCTAACGAAGCCAAGCAAGACAGTTTTAGCTCCCTGACCTGTGACCTTCCCTTTCATGCATACATTCTATGAGCGAAAAACCCTATAAAAGCTGTGTTAAAACATGTCTCAAACACAGTTCTCCTAACTGGTGGTTCTCTGAACTCCTGGTTTGAGTAACTGTTGCAATAGCTTATCTCTCAAACTGGGTCCCTAGTGGATGCTGAGCTCATATTTCTCTCTTGACTGTGTTTTTCTTTAAAGTGTCATTCCCTCACCTGGGCATGAACTATTGAGAGGTGGTTTAGAAGTAAATTCTTACTGCAAGGCCAAAGACCATATAGTCCAGCATCCTGTTCCCAAAGTGTTCAACCAGATGTGCCCTTGGGAAGCCCAGAAGCAAAACCTGAGGGTAACAGCACTCTCGCCACCTGTGATTCCCAACTCTTATTCAGAGGCATACTGCCTCCAACAGGGGTAGTAAAACACAAACAAGTGGGACTTGGAGTTTAGTTGGGCCAGAGAGTTTAGTTTTTCCCCCTTTGAGCCAGTCCCCTGATCTTCTGACCCTTTGAAACCTTATTTTATTTTTTTCAGCTTTCCTTACAGAGCGTCTGTCACACTGCAAACTGCAGTGTTGCTGAGATTCTGGCCATCTGAATCTATGAAAAATGTTTCAGTGCAGAATGCTCCTGTTCCGGATACTCCATTTCATTCCCTTTCTCACATTCCTTCACCCTTCACCCTACATTCTGTGGCAACTGAGCATGCTCATTCCTCATTGGGCTGTTTTGGGGGTTGATGCCCAGAATTCTCTTCTAACCCTCCCACCCTCTTTTTGTATTTCAACAAGCCTCTGGATCCCTCCTTGTGTGGGGATGATTACCACTTTGGCTACCAAAGGACTACCACTATGAGATAAGAATGGGAATACAGTGGTACCTTGGTTCTCAAATTTAATCCGTTCCGGGAGTCCATTCAACTTCCGGAACCATTTGAAAACCAAGGTGTGGCTTCCTATTGGCTGCAGGAGCTTCCTGCACTCAATCGGAAGCAGCGGAAGCCACGTTGGACATTCAGCTTCCAAAAAACATTTGCAAACCAGAACACTTACTTCCGGGTTTACGGCATTCAGGAGCCGATTTGTTTGGGAGCCAAGCCATTCGACAACCAAAGTACCACTGTACATACATTCTAAATGTTTTAAACATTTAAAATAAACACCATACTAAATAAAAAGAGCATTTCATTTGAATGCCTTCTTATGCAAGAGCTCTTGAAGCCCACTCCTTATGTGAACTCTGACAAAGTATGCATTTCCCTTTGTTATTGCACCACTGCTTTCATCCATCCATAAACCTGAAGTTAAAAGGCCAGAGTCAATTAGTGGGTTTGGTCTCTCTTCTACCCTATATGAACATTTCAAAATAATTGGACAATTAGCATGAAGGAAAGAATTGCCCACAGTTATAGAAGCCCCCACCTTCTTGATCAAGGATGGAGGTGAAAAGAAATTATATTGCAAGGGGTGCTTTAAAGAAGACACAAATACCAACATGGAATACTGCAGACGTAGGCAAACTCAGCCCTCCAGATGTTTTGGGACTACAACTCCCATCATCCCTAGCTAGCTAACAGGACCAGTGGTCAGGGATGATGGGAATTGTACTCTCAAAACATCAGGAGGGCTGAGTTTGCCTATGCCTGCTCTACTGCAAAGGAACTAGCATGAAATAATTGCATGGCTCAGCCTTCCCCAATCTGATGCTCTCTTTGAGTACAATTCCCATCAGTTCCAGTATGGCTGTGTTGGCTGGGACTGGTGTATCCAAAACATCTGGAGGGTACCACATTGGCAAAGATTGCTGTAGATGAAGGATGGGAACCTGCAGCTCTTCAGATGTTGCTAGGCTGCAACTCACATCATCCTTGACCATTGGCCATGTTGGCTGGAGCTGATGGAAGGTGAAGTCCAGCAACATCTGGAGAGCAAGGCATTCCCCACCCTAGGTATAGATTATTAGTGTCATGATTCATATTCATGCATGCTGCTATATATATACACATTGGGAAATGATCGCCCATTGTTTCCAGTTGCACATACACAGAAGGGTATGTACTGTACAATAATAATATAGAAAACCTTTCCATACAGGCTATTCCCTATGCAAAAATGTGTTCCAGGTGGAATTTTGCTGTTTCAGGTAAGCCTAAGAGGGGCTCTAAGAACATATAATTACAGCTCTGTCCTTTGCGCTAGAATTAATGGAGAAAGTGTGAGTGGATTGGTGATGTCTGTGATGAAATTAAGTCAGAAAAGAAGATAACCAGGCGTGGGGTGGCAGGGGAAGAAATTCGTCCTCAAGCTCCAGGGGGGCTGGCCCCTTAATTTTAAGTGTGGCCCTCTAGTCTATGATCCTTTTGCATGCAGACGAGCCCAGGGTCAGTTCCTGTGTCCCAAGGCAGGGCTGGAATGTCTGAAACCTTGAAAATCCATTGCCAGTCAGTGTGGAGCTAGATGGCTCAATGATGTAACACAGCCTCCTATGTTCCTAGATAAAATGAAGTAAGTCCAGGTGTGATGGGCTTGTAGGTTTCATTAAAGGGTCCACTACCTTGCCCCTCCCCACAGCACTGAAAGAAGCAGATGAATTTTGAAATGATGCTTGGGAAAACATTTTGGCTGAAAAGCCAAAGTCCTGCCAATAAAATGGTAGGAAGAGTGGCCTTTTTCATGAAATAAAATGGGGAAATGCAGAGATTAAATTGACACAGAGCTCAGCTGTGGAACCTCATTTTAACACAGGACTCCGCTCTGGACAGTGGAAATAATGACATAGAGAGGATTGTTCGGCATATGCAGAGTGCATCTCTCTCTTTACTAAAGCAACCACAGCTCACCTCGCACAGGTTAACAGCATGGCAGTCCGAACGAGAAGGGAAAACCCTTCCTTCCACCGCTGAACGATATTTTCCTAGTAACACAAAGTGTGAATTATGAGAAACAAATCTTAAAGAAGAGGAGGAAGAGGAAGAGGAAGACTTATTTCAAACGTGATGAATCTCCTGTGTGAATAACTTGCCAGGCAGGTCATTCCGCGCACGACCAATTTATCCAATATGCCACCATAGCAGAAGTTACAGCCCGAGGATTCTGCCGGTCTCCACCTCCTGCAGCTTTTGCAGCAGCGGACCCTAAAAAACGCAGGCAGGCAAGGGGCGGCTGGTGCCTCCCACCCCCTTCGGCATCTTAATTGGGAAATCGACGCGGAGAGAGGAAGGGAGATCGATCCAGCGGAAAGTTAGCCGAGGGAGACGCTGCGGTCGGGGGGCCAGGCGAGGCAGCGCGCTGTGCGCAGCAGCAGCGCACATCTCCTTGGAACCGGGCGAACGCGGAACGGGCAGCCTGGCTCTTCCCCATCCGGCGCGGAGCACCTCGAGACCCCGGGTAAGCGCTGCTCTCCCCGCTAAGCGTTTCGAAAGGCAGATGCCCAAGTGCAAGGCAGCTTTAGCGGGTCGGCGAGAGCTTCTTCCTGGCTGCCTGGGGGCGCTTTTGATAGACCCAAACCAGGCACAACGCGGAGCCCCAGGGGCGAGCCGGTCCTCGGGGGGCGCTGCTGCCGGAAGGTTTCTGGAAGCCGAGCTTAGCCTCCGGAGCGAGCGCGAGGTCAGGAAAGGGCCGCGCTGGGAGCGGGGTCCGGGGGAGACGCCGAGACAGGGCCCCGCTGCCGTGCCCCAGGAAGGCGCGCAGGGCCAGTAAAGAAAGACGCGCAGCCCCGACCCTCCGTAGCTGCCTACGGCGGTTTCGTCGACGCGCCTTTTAGATTCATAACCGCTTTGTCAACAACCCGCCTTTCCCCATTTTTCCTCTTAAACCCAAAACACTTCTCAGCGCGCCCTTCGGTTGGAGAGCTTGCGTGGATCGCGCTGCGTGCGTCCAGAAGCTCCAGAAAGAGCGTTTTCTTCGCACCAGGAACCCAGGGAACTCGACTCCGTGCCAGAACGAATCTCTGCCTTCTCTTCTCCCTCCGCGGTCTGCAGTGCCGCGCGGCTAGGTGGTGGATGAAGGGGAGAAGGCGGCACTGGGGAGGAAGCAGGGGCGAGGATCTCCGGGCCCTGCTTCTTCCACCTGCCCCTGGCGACGCCCTCCAACGCGCGACCCAGACGGGGGAACCCTTCTCTGAAAACGCCCTTACTTTGGATACTAAGGGGTTAAGGAACTTCTTCTCTTCCGGCGTCCTTCAGATAATGAGCGTTTCCTACTTTATTCAGCCTTACTTGAAATAGAAGTGGGAAATCTTCTTTTTTTATATAAAGAAGAAGAAGGTGGAAACTTTCCGCCACGGGCGAAGGCATAATGCGCCAAACCGTCACTAATTGCCTTGTGCTTGACTTGGCTGCCAATCGGTTTCTAATTATCCCACGTTTCGTGTTTTATCTAAAGCTAAATCAAACTCTTGCTCTTTTGGGGAATATCAGCCAGGCTTCCTCTTAAACGGAGCGTTCAGAAACTCTGCCTTCTGGAGTCACGGTGGTGCAACAGGTTAGTTGTAATCCATTTGGCAGATTCACAATTAAAGATTATTTGTAAAGCCCACTGAACCCACTAGGAGCTACTCCTAAGAAGATATGCTTAGCACTGCGTTGTTAGAATAAATTGTTAAGTATTTATGTGCTGGTTTTTTGGATGTATAGCTAATGTATAGAAACTGAGAACAATACAGTGGTACCTCAGGTTAAGTACTTAATTTGTTCTGGAGGTCTGTTGTTAACCTGAAACTGTTCTTAACCTGAAGCACCACTTTAGCTAATGGGGCCTCCTGCTCTCGCCGCTCCGCCACTGCACGATTTCTGTTCTCATCCTAAAGCAAAGTTCTTAACCTGAAGCACTATTTCTGGGTTAGTGGAGTCTGTAACCTGAAGCGTATATAACCTGAAGCGTATGTAACCTGAGGTACCACTGTACCTTATACCAAATCAGACCATTGGGCAATCTAACTCAGTGTCATCCACTGCTTAGCAACAGATATCCAGGGTTCAGAAAAACAGTCTTCCAGTCCTAGCTGGAGAAGGGAAAAAGGGAAAAGACGGATCTAGACAGATCCTCGTGAATTCATATGATTTTTTCATTCAAATTAAATAAAACCACCATGATACTGTAGACTATGTCTTACTCTGTAGACAGCATCAAAAAAATCATGCATCCACTATTTCGTGGGGCCGCAGGGGCGCAAAAACATGGTTAAAAAACACAGATCCTCATGATTTTTGCACTAGATCAGCCCAAAGTCACCATCAGATCAAACATCATGGCCAGGGGCACAGCATCCACCACGAAAATCATGGATCCACGGCTTCCTGGCCATACCGTGGCCCAAAAACGTGGTTTCGAAGCACGGATCCTCACAGATCCTCATAGATCCTAATGCTTTTTGCATTGGGCCAACCCAAACTCACTGTCAAATCACATGTCATAGCCAGGAGCACAGCCTGCACCACATAAACTCGGATCCACAGCTTCCTGGCAACTCCATAGCCCCAAAATGTGGTTTTGAAGCATGGATCCTCATGGATCCTAACACTTTTTGCATTGGGCCACCCCAAACTCACCGTCAAATCACACATCATGTCCAGGGGCACAGCCTGCACCACAAAAAGCTTGGATCCATGGCTTCCTGGTCACACCGTGGCCCAAAAACGTGGTTTTGAAGCACGGATCCTCATGGATCCTCACGCTTTTTGCATTGGGCCAACCCAAACGCACCGTTAAATCACACATCTTGTCCAGAGGCACAGCCTGCACCAACAAAATCACGGATCCATGGCTTCCTGGCCACTCCGTGACCCAAAAACATAGTTTTAAAGCACGGATCCTCATGGATCCTCACGCTTTTCACATTGGGGAACTCCAAATTCACCCTTTATTCAAATATCTTGTACATAACCACAGATCTGACCACAAACATTATGGATCTACTGCTTCATGGCCCTGGCCAGATGCTACCCTGGATATACAGGCCACTTTTTAGGTGGGTGTGCTGGGATGGAGGAAACGGAGTCGGCTGAATCTCTATCCATTAAAGATGGGCTTCCAATGGTTTGCCTGCTCCCAGCTCTTCATGGGGCGCAATAGTCACCTACAGCCGCCACCGGGAGTCCCGGTGTGATTCTGGCTGCTTCTGTCTCTATGGAGGCATTGGTCACAAATGTAGCCAAACTGGCATTTTTTAATCTATGTCAGGTTAGGCGATTGGTACCGTACCTGTCCCTTTCCAACCTATCCATGGTGATCCATGCAGTAGTCACCTGCAGACTAGACTACTTTAACTTGCTGTACACCTGAGCCGGGGAGGGCAGGGTATAAATGCGATAGAGAGAGAGAGAGAGAGAGAGAGAGAGAGAGAGAGAGATGCAGGGCTACCCTTGAGACTGCTCCAGAAACTCCAAATGGTCTAAAATGCATGAGTTCTTACTTGGACCTTGTGGAGAGCCCACATTCAGTTGGTTGTTCATCAGCTGGATTGGCTCCAGGTGGAGTATTGAATCAGGTTCAAGGTTTTGGTGCTAATCTTTAAAGCCCTAAACAGTCTGTGACCTTTCTTATCTATGGGAATTATCTTCCAATACACCCCCATGAGTGTGACGCTCATCTAACAGCAACCTACTGGTGGTCCCTGGCCCAAAACATATCCAGCTGTCCTCGACCAGAGCCAGAGCCTTTTTGGTGGAATGCTTTGTCTAATGAGACCAGGGCTCAGTGCAATCTATCTCAGTTCTCTCACTTGTCATGGTGAGTGGGCTTGCACATTCCTATGACCCTTGTGAGTGAAGCCGTCAGGAATCTCGTACTCCCAGCAGGGTCACCCAAGGCGGTAAGGTCAAAGAAAATTAAATATGCTCAGAGTCCTGTAGTGATTTCATGCTCTTTATTGCAGCTTGTAAAACAGTGACTGAATTTCCCCCCAAACCTCAGGCCTTTATATACATTATTTACACAATGAGTCCCGTCTGATTGGCTGATTCTGCTTCCCTCCTGGAGCCTGATTAGTCTTTCCCTGCAAGCCAATCAGTTCTTGCATTCTAGGATCCTACTTGCCTATTGTTCTAGGATCCAAGCTTAGTACATAACAGGGAAGGAGCTAGACAAAGAATGATCCAAGAAGTCCTCAATGGCAGAACAGGCGAATGATAACAAGCAGTGTGTTACAACGGCTGTGAAGGCGGATGAAGGCTGCAGCAGATAGGATCCACCAGTTCGTCGTGACTACTCATGCCATCAGAGCAGAGCCCTACTGCGAAGACTGTGCGTTGGTCAGCGTGCACTGATCTCTACACATAAAACAAATTCACGCACAGGCGTCTTCCAAAAACCCAACCCAACCCCCGCAAGCCCTCCCCCACATGGCGATCACTAAATGGCTACGGAGGCAGGAATGTGAAATCTGGAAGCCCCTAGTCATGAACCGACACATGGGCGGTCAGTCATTCTGACTCAAGGAATGAGGCAGTTGAGCAGCTCAGCAGCTGTATCCATGACTGAGCAGCCCTTTTTAGGATCCACTCTGCTTACCCCGAAAAGGGGAAGGGGCTGGAAATGGTGCCCTAAACATAGTCTGCCTCCCTTTTTCCCTGACTGGATTACCGCGCCCAGTGGGGTCACCACCCAGGGGTCGTAAAAGACAATTGAACTTTGGAACATGGAATATATGGACTTTGTCAGATAACACAGACAGCGAACGTCCTAAACGCAGCACTTTCTCTCTCGAAGAGCAGGCGAGGGACAACTGAAGGAAGAAAAAGGAGGCTACACATTCTTCTGGAAAGGTCTATCTGAACAAGAACATTGAATACATAGGTAGGCTTCGCTATGAAAAACGACCTTGTGAAGCTCCTGTCAGAAGTCCCTACTGGCATTAATGAGCGACTCTCAACCCTTCGAATAAAGCTCACAAAAAACCAACAGACTACTATTATAAGCACTTATGCACCAACACTGGATGCTGATGAAGACATTAAAGAAAATTTTTACTCAGCTGGATACCATCCTATCAGAGACGCCTAAGGAAGATAAAATTATCCTTCTGGGTGATTTTAATGCAAGAGTTGGGTGAGATTTTGATCTGTGGCCTGGGACTATTGGGAAAGAAGGAGTTGGCAACAGCAACCAGAATGGAATCTTACTTTTGACGATATGTGCAGCGCACAACCTTATTACCAAAACACTCTTTGGACAGAAAAATAAATTTAAAACTTCATGGAGGCATCCTCGGTCAAACCACTGGCACTTCTTAGGCTATGTTATTGTCCGTGCTAAAGATCAACGTGATGTGCTCCTTACCAGAGCTATGACGAGCACCGACGACTGCTGGACAGATCACCAACTAATACGCGCCACGATGGCTATCAAGATTATACCTCAACGCAGGCTTCAGGGAAGAAAACCAAGGCACAAAATGAACACTCAAGCCCTTCACGTTCCCATTAAGCGGGATTGCTTCTAAATGACTCTTAAGGCCCATCTGCTTTCAGAATTCCCTGATAACATCAAGGAACACTGGACCAAGCTAAAAACATCCATTATTGCAGTCTCTGAACAAACTATTGGATACCAAACCAAGAAACACCAGGACTGGTTTGATGAGAATGACAGTGAGATTGAATGCCATGATTGACAAGAAAAGGAAGGCATTTCAGATCTGGCAAAGAGAAAGAAACTGTGCCACTAAGAAAAAAAAACATATGCCAATGCTAAGAACCAGAGAACTAAAAAACACCTGGTGGATAAAAAAAAAGCTCAAGAGATCCAGCACTTAGCCGACACTCATGATGCACAAAGTTTCTTTAAAGCCACAAAGACCATCTATGGACCAATAAATCATGGCATATGCCCCCCTACGCTCAGCAGATGGTACCACACTTCTAAAAGATAAAGAAGCTATTGCACTGTGCTGGAAAGGACACTACCAACATCTCCTTAACCACAACTCCCCCATAGCTGCAGAGGTCCTCTCACAAATCCCGCAAAAACAAATTAGAGATGAGCTTGCAGTATCTCCAAATCTGGGAGAGTTGTGTACAGCTATTAACCAAGTGAAAAACAACAAAGCCAGTGGACCTGATGGGATACCTGCTGAAATCTTCAAAGTGGGTGGAACTGAACTTACACAACAACTTCACAAGCTCATCAAAAAAATCTGGGAGAGAGAAGCGATCCCAGCAGACTTCAGGGATGCCAAAATTATCAATCTCTTTTTAAAAAGGTGACAGAACTGGGTACAGCAATTGTCTGTTGCAGTGGGGATTGCCTAGTGATAAATATGCTATTTGCTTGAACCTGGAGGAAAAGAAAGACCCCCCAAAAAGCTGTAAGAGAAGAAGTAGGTCCTCTCCTGCCAGTTGGCATTTTACATCATGAGTAAAAACAATGGTTTTGTCTCCCGTGGTAGCTAACTGTACCATATAAACTACCCAGAAGCAACATGGAGGAAAGTAAGACACAGAATGGGCCAAACTTGAATGAATCCATGTATTTGTTACAGTAAATTTATCTTTCCGCTTTCTCATCTGTGCCAGTAAGTGCATATGACCCCAGTGATAACTCCAGTTGAAAAGTGTTTTTTTAAAGAGATCTGGAAGATCAGGAAAGTGAAACCTCAGGTGCCAGGGCAGAATGTCACCACATTGAGCATATTGCAAAGGAAGTTATCAGAGCATGGAGTTCAAGACATTTCTGTCCGAAAGAGGTTGTAGCTGGTGAACCTGCTGGAGCTGAAAAAGGCACTCCTAGCCACTGAAGTCATCTGAGACTCCAATGACAGTGTTAAATCCAGGAATATCTCCAAGCTCCTTCCAGGGGAGTGCAACCGCATCCAGGGCAGGCCGTCTCCCCACCTCTTAGACATGAGAAATGAGGACGCACAACACCTCTGTCTTTTCAAGATTCTCCTTCTGTTTATTGGCCCACATCCAGCCCATCACTGCCTTTAAGCACTGGTCTAACATCTCAACCACCTCTTCTGTTTCAGACAGAACAGAGAGCCAGAGCTAGGTATGATCTGTACAGTGGTACCTCAGGTTAAGTACTTAATTTGTTCCGGAGGTCCGTTCTTAACCTGAAACTGTTCTTAACCTGAAGCACCACTGTAATGGGTTTAGGGGTTGCTCGTGTGTAAGTTGCCGCCACTCCTGGCTAGGTTACCTGGTTAACCCTTTCTGACTGAACAGCCTCCAGCATCGTGACTGTCTCAGTCGCTGGCAGAATCCGTCAGTGGGCGTTTCTTAAACCTTTTCCAGCATAAAAGTTGTTTGACGCCAAGTCTCCTCCTACTCTCCCTGCGCGGAAGTCTTCTGCGCAGGGAGGGTGTGGGCAGCGGAGTACCCGTACTCTCTCCGCTGGTCTCCGGCGAAGAGTCTTGGAGCCTCCTCCCCGATTCCCCACCTGCCCCCCTTCTCCACTGGTGTTACGCTGATTTCCTTCCCCAGCAGATGGGCTGCCTGTCTCCCTACTGGGACCCTCTCCTGCATCCCTTTGGAGCCTTCCCTCCGCCTCTAGCTCCGATGGCAGTTCCCTGACAACCACTTTAGCTAATGGGGCCTCCTGCTGCTGCCGCGCCACCAGAGCACGATTTCTGTTCTCATCCTGAAGCAAAGTTCTTAACCCGAGGTACTATTTCTGGGTTAGCGGTGTATGTAACCTGAAGCGTCTGTAACCTGAAGAGTATGTAACCCGAGGTACCACTGTATATTAATGGCACTTCGCTCCAAATTTGTGACACCCAGAATCAGATGCCTGAGGTGACCACTATGTCCAATGGTAGGACTGGCTGCTGAGGTGAGGCAACAGTAAGTAAAAGGGCTACCTATTTAGTTGGTATCATTCATGAATAATACTACAATATGTTGCAGTTCTGAAGAGAAGCCCATGTGGTTTGCTAATCCCTCATCTCCATAACAAACCACCCCTGATTCATTCATGTTAAGCTGTTGGCAGAAATCAAAAGTATAACAGGAATACATTTTCACCCTCATGAAAGAAAGAACTAGCAGTGGAAAAGCATGTCTTGACCCTTCTTATATGTGGTTTGTAATCTATGTTCAATACATCTGATTCTTGGGAGCCAAGGTTGCTGTGACTCAAAATGATGGCACGTGCCTCTGCTGGTATTAAGGCATATTATAAACTAGGGGAGGCAAAGCAATCTAAAAGTTACAGTGGACAAACAGTAGGAAGCAGCTGTTGCCTTCATACTTCTGACTTCCCAGAGAGCTTTGGCTGGAAATAGAATGGACCATCAATGATGATATCACTTCCTCCTTGTGATACGCAAATTCCTAATCCAGGGATGGGGAAACCTGTGGCTTTCCTCATGTTGTTGGACTTTAAATTACATCCATCCCAGCCAAGATGACCAGTGGTCAAGGATGGTTGGAATTGCAGTATGATGGCAAACATTTGATGGAAAACAGGTTACCTACCCATATCTTAATCTATTCTCAATATGATCATCATGATAGATGTGAGAAGAGCCTGTGAGTTTTGATTCTTTGAGCATGGCAAGTTGATCGTATGCAAACACTGGCATGCATAGAATATAATTTTTCTGGGAACCATGAGAAAAAGGACTTCTTAATGCATACAGAAAATTAAATAAAGTATAGGGGCATGGTTGGTGCACCATAGACTGGAAACCAAAGAGCAAGCAACCTCTATAGGCTAAAGTGCCATGGTTAGGAGAATAGGCTCGTAGTCTTTAATCAGAGTTATTTTAGAACATAGTGTCTCTCAGTCAGTTGGAAAGAACAAAATGATTGTGTTCTCTTTTTTTATTAAATGCAAAATACTTGGGACAGCAATGGCCCCACTGTCTGGCCTTTGGCAGATTTCAGGTTTTGAATGAGTAGAACATGAGAAAGTGTGTGCCTCTTTGTATAAGTGTAACCCATTAGAAAATATAATACATGAATCAGAAAGGTGGAGTCTGGGTTTGCTCAGATCTCTTACATCCTTCAGGCTAGCCCTGTTCGCCTAAGCAGGTTTAAGAATTCAATATATGCTTACTACCCATTTTTCAGAATGGTGTTAGAAAAATTATCCCAGGCTGTTAAAAGTATATAAGAGGTCTGGTTATTTCACAGTGGGCAGGGAACTAGTGAAGCCTGTGACCGAGATACAGGCAATCAATAGCAATTTTCATGCTGACAAAATATAGGCACCTGCTAGAAAACTTAGGCTGCTGGAATTATATCATCTATCTCTATTTGTTTTTCAAGAGTGCTGTAGAACTTAATGATCAAATATAAGGCAGTAACCTTCAGGGAATGTGTGGTGTCCTTTTGCAAAAGAAAATGGTATTTTATTACCAATCCATTTCAGGCAAAAGGGGATAGCGGAAAACGTAACTCACAACCCCAGCATGTTAATTGCACACAAAATCCCTTATCTAATCAGAAGAGGTCCTCACTTCACCCTAGTAACCAAAATCAAGAGCCATCTCTTGACACCACTGAAGAGCTTTTTCACATCAATGCTGGCTGCCTAGTGGGAAGAATCAACTATTGGATTAATTCCAGGGAATTCTGTATTATTGTGAGGTTTTTATTTTATTTTAATTTTTTTAAAAGAGACTGGTATTTCATCCCAGCAAAATTATATATAAGCAGACAAAATACTGATCCTCAAAATACAAATAATACAGCTACTGGTAACACATATGCGGTACCCAAAATCTTGCTGGCACACAATCTGTAAATTTCTTTCCCTAACAAATAATACTGATGTTTGTGGAAGGGAAAGGCAGAACTCACATTTTGCATAATACAAATTATTTGTACAGTGGTACCTCAGGTTACATACACTTCAGGTTACATACGCTTCAGTTTACAGACTCCGATAACCCAGAAATAGTGCTTCAGGTTAAGAACTTTGCTTCAGGATGAGAACAGAAATCATGCTTCGGCAGCGTGGGAGCAGCAGGAGGCCCCATTAGCTAAAGTGGTGCTTCAGGTTAAGAACAGTTTCAGGTTAAGAACGGACCTCCGGAATGAATTAAGTACTTAACCCGAGGTACCACTGTATTGTAGAAAGTATGACTGCTATTAACTGCTATGTGTGGGTGGAGAAAAGGAGTCTCAGTACAATAAAAGGGGGATTGGTAAAATAATTTTGTAGTCTCGTTGGTTCATGCTTTAGTTGAGGGGCTCCCAAACTGTGGTCTGTGAATCACCAGTGTTTTGCGAGCTTCATTTCTGTTGTCTGTGGCATTTCTGTGGATTTGTGGTTAAAGACAGAAGATGGCACATCCATCACGTCAAATATCCATACTCATTTCAATTGTATTTTTATTGCTTCTTTTCATTCTTTTATATTGCATTTTATTGTATTTGAAATCAAAATCATCAAGTCATCTGCCAAGAGCCTCAGCAGTCTTCAAGTGGTCAACAGAAGGGAAAGGTTTGGGAACCACTGTTCTAGTTACCACCAGATTAGATGACTATGATGTGCTGTACAAAAGACTGTCCTTGAAGTTCTGATGTTTCTTAGAACCTGCCTGCGTTCTCTCTCTCCTCTCACACAAACGAACTGTTTTCAGTACTATGGCTGGGTACTGCACAGAGTTTGGCTGTTGCATCCAAGATCTGGAGTAGCCTCCTGCTTTTAGACAGTCAGCAGACAGTTTTTCACTTTGGTGAGCTTTTGCAAATTATTTCCATTAAGTTGATTTTACACTGCTGCTTCCTTTTTAGCTGATTGTGATATGTGTTGTTGTTTGTATTATTTATGTATTATCTTAGTTCTCTTGTTTTGCAACTTGCCTTGAGAAAGGTGGGAAATACATTTTGAGCATCATTTTAAAAAAGCTGCTTCTGAAAGATGATTGAGAGAAAAATCTGTTTTTGGAAATTTTTAAGAGGGAAATTTGGAATACATTTGCCACTTAACATAAGTAAAATTACAGCACCACACTTATTTATTAGGTATTGAAATGTGGTTTGCATGGGTGCCCTTGTTTCTGCAGCTGATAATCATTCTATTTCTGGTTCCAAACAGGACTTCATTATGGACAGAGACCTCAAAGATTACAGTAACAGGACACTTGCCACAGAGAACAACTCAGCCCCTTCCAAGGGCTCCCATTTTCCTACCTGGGAAGACTATAAAAACAGCGTAGATGACATTCAGTACTTCCTGATTGGGCTTTACACTTTCATCAGCCTCGCTGGCTTCATAGGAAACCTGCTGATCCTCATGGCTCTAATGAAGTGCAAGCAAAAAACCATAATAAACTTCCTCATTGGCAACTTAGCCTTTTCCGACATACTAGTGGTGGTCTTTTGCTCTCCCTTCACCTTGACCTCAGTTCTACTTGATCAGTGGATGTTTGGAGAAGTCATGTGCCATGTGATGCCTTTCCTCCAATGCGTGTCTGTCCTGCTGTCCACCTGGATGCTGATTTCCATTGCTGTGGTCAGGTACTGTTTGATCCGCCACCCTCTTTCTAGTAACCTGACGCTGAGACACGGCTGCTACCTCATTTTCGCCATCTGGACTCTTGGCTTAGCCATTTGCTCCCCTCTGCTTGTTTTCCACAAGCTCGAAGATCTCCACCTGGAAGCACTGAAAAGCAAGCGCTTGTGTGTGGAGTCCTGGCCATCTACGGGCTACAGGGTTGCATTCACTATTTCCTTGTTGCTCATGCAGTACATTTTGCCTTTGGTTTGCCTCACCGTCAGTCACACCAGAGTCTGCAGGTCCGTAAGTTCCAGATTGTCAGGCAAAGAAAACAAACTGGAAGAGAACGAGATGATAAACTTAACCCTCCATGCACCCAAGAGCCAGGGGCCTCAGGGACAGCTCTCTAGCTCCGAGAGGTGGAGTTATACTTTGGTTAGGAAACATCGGAGGAGGTACAGCAAAAAGACAGCTAGCGTGGTGCCAGCAATATTAAGGCACCATCGGGGCAATACTTCTGGGGATCTCCCTGAAACATCAGGGACAGAAAGAAGTCAGCTTTCGTCCAGCAAATTCATCCCAGGGATTCCCATCTGCTTTGAGGTGAAACCAGAGAGTTCTGAAACACAGGATGGGATTACAATAGCCCGATCCACCACTCGGATTCGGAAAAGGTCTCGGAAGGTTTTCTGCCGACTGACGGTGCTGATTATAGTTTTTGCAGTCAGTTGGATGCCTCTTCACGTTTTCCACGTTGTAACAGATTTTAATGGCAATCTCATCTCAAACAAGCATTTTAAATTGGTGTACTGTATTTGTCATTTGCTGGGCATGATGTCCTGCTGTTTAAATCCCATTCTATATGGATTTCTTAATAACGGCATAAAAGCTGATTTGATGGCCCTTATTCCATGCTTACAATTATCATAAAACTGCTGTAAATGGAACAATAAAACACAAATTATTATCCTCGCAGGTTCAAACTGTGAAACATATCATCTGACTGCTTGCGGGAATGCGTTACGGAAAGTTCCTGTTGTCCATTTAATGTGACAAAGGTTAACTCGGTGGTTGGATGATTTGATAACACTTCTCAGTTTGTAAACATGCCAGGTGTCAAGGTTTGACTGGTCAATCTACAGTCCTCTCATCATTCCCTCTATGACAACCACTCATGTCAGATTTTCTTTCAGGAGGCATCTATTCAATGTACAAAAGAAACAGACCGTTTTCAATATGTACACTATGGGTGGCATCCAGCAAAGTATTTCTGGTAGTGCAAGGATTCTGACCTGTGCAAGGGAACTTCCCCACCCTCTACCCATAAACCACATGCTCCCCAAATCTGCTCCAGAGGGTTGGGGGAATCCCCTGGACAGATTTAGAGGATGCTCAAAGAGAAGAAAACAGAGGGGAAGGTCTCCTTTGTAGTCAAAAATCCTTGTGTCAGGAGCAGCACTGTGTTGGATGCTACCAGGGCTTTTTTTCACCAGAACTCCCTTCCTGCACTTCTCAGGTGGGCACCATTGCCATTATAAGAGAACATTATAAGAGAGGCATTCATGGTGAGTCCCAGAACCTCTCTTTTTAGAAAAATATCACTGGATGCTACCTTATAAGCAGAAATGCAATATTGAAACGCAGTTCCACAAAGTTCCTTCTAAAGCTGCTTTAACATCATGTCAAAGATATCTAGATTGCAAATCTTGCTAGCAGATACTTAAAACAATGTATTGTCATGAGGTAACAATCAAATATTAAGAACAATGTATCGTTGTCATGAGTGAATCCATTGCTCTTTAGGCAATATTTCTTTTTAAATAAATTGTTGGCTTCTGTGTGAATGGAATAAATAAGGCAATCTCTTTATTGCTTGATATAAACAATTTCTATTTTAAGAAACTGGATGCTATTGGATAAACCTGGTTGAAAAGAAGCTTGTGCATACATGATGACTTTCTATTGTTTAGTACTACTGAATCAGAGTTTTTGGCTCTAGAAGCTTGCAATATAAATAAGACAATAGAGGGAAGGAAGAGACAATGATAAGAAAGAACCAGCATTACATTTTAGTACATACCCATGTTGTGTATATTGAGGACAGTCTCAACTAAGTCATACTCAGAGTAGATCCACTGAAGTCCATGGACCTAAGTTACTCATGTCCTTTAATTTCAATGGGTATTCTGTGAGTAGGATTAATGTGGGATGCAAGCTACGCTTTAGACAAGTACAATAGAAGCACGCGCATCAGGGAACTCTTGCTTGAGATTATTTATTTAGAAAAAAATTGTATAACACTTCATTTTTCTAAAAAAAAATCAAAGCGGTTTACAACAAACATACATAGATATACAGTAAAAAAAAGAGGCAAAAATTTAAAATCAGCATTCAGCTAATTAGTTTTGCTGGAGTGCAGCTTTGAGAGAGGAGACAGAAAAAAAGTAAATACTCTGTATCACTCCTGTTCTGGAGCTGCCTACTGTATTATATCACATCAGAGACTTCAGTGGGATTGCATGCACGTAAATCCTTGCACTTTGGTATGTCTGTACTGTGGATCAAGCGGCTATACTTTAATACCAAAGTTTAGCTCAACAAAGGGATGTCTTGCTTCTGAAAGAATTGAGCTGTGTTGCTGATCTTTTCTTTAAAGTGTGGTATGACAGCTTGGTCATATCTCCCATTATATCTCTCTCAGCATAAGCATATCTTTGTGCCCCAGGAAGTGCTATAATCACATTGGCTGTTTTCCAATTTGGCTACAGCTTTCCAGTTCTGCTCTAGCTGCCTCTCTAAGACCCCTTGCAGAGCCTTTCTATGCTAGCTTGGCAAGTGTAAGGTTGTGTAAATAAAAGACAGATGGGACTATAGGTTTAAGGATGTCAAACTGGTACCATGAAATATCCCATATCTCCATCATGTCTGCTCTTCAATTGTAGGTGGACCTTTCAATGTTAAGTTTTCTGATTACTGGTACTCCAACATAAGGAATGGGACTCATTTCCAGAAATTGTGAAACTGCAGTATCCCCCTGTATTGGGGGCAGAAGACCCTAGTGACTGTTCCTGTCATCTACCACCATTTCAGAGTGGAGAAAAGAATCCGTGGCCGCCAACCATGCTCTTACAGCTACAGTCTAGACTCTCTAACTACCCAAGCCAGTTGATACATAAGAACTGATCAATATTGCAGCCTGCCTTAAGTGCACAGTGCTGAGTTTATGTGCAGAATCCAATACAAAGTTAAAGCCTGGCAAACAAGAAATATCAACACAGATAACTGGTAGTTGATCCAGGGTCTTAAATGAAAAATTAAATTGACCTTTGGGAGCAGAACAGCAAGATCTGATAGCAACAAGCCGAGTATAAATTCATTAAATTTATTAAATAAATTCATTAAATTAGACATTTTAATAAATCCATAGGCTTACAAAGAAAAACACAGATAAATGAATGCTCAAATGAGTGTCTTTTTCTAACTTGTTATTTATATGAACACATCTAGATGAAATGAATATTATTTCATGCTGTTTTGCATTCATTTTGTGTGTGTACGAACATAGAATGATGAGAAAATTGAATGAGCACTAAAATGTTGCAGCAGTATTTCTACCAGGCAGTCCCTTATTTTCATCCAGGCAGCATGGGATTGGTACATAGTGAAATCCTGATCTTATGGTCCTACTCGACTGGCAGCTTTTATGCTCTTGATATGTTGGTGATTATGTTAGTGTAAGATAGCACCCATCTCATGCACTCCTAGTAGCAAAGGAGAGAGCAAAATGGTATCAGTAGAAATGAGATTACGTGACAACATCCAGAGAGAATGTCCATGGTAACACCATCTACCAACCACAGCAATTATGCATTAATGATGACCCCACCCCAAGCAAGGAAAGCACCAATCAATACTCAGTAATTGCACAGTATGCAGCATATACCTCCCATCACCCTTGAATACTAGCCATGCTGGCTGGGGGTGATGGGAGTCAGACTCCAACAGTCTCTGGAGAGCCACAGGTTCTCTGTCTCTACACACACAATGCACAACGAGACCGCCAATGATACCCTATAGAGCAGGCATGTCCAAAGTCTGTTTTGGGGGGCCAATCCAGCCAGTTTTATCTAGCTCCTGTCAAAAAGAAAGCTCAGCAACTTCAATCCTTTAAAAAAGCTCAACTTTAATCCTAAAAACTTTGGCTGGCCCTTACACATGTTCACTTCATCAAATCTGGCCCTCTTTGAAAAAAGTTTGGCACCCCTGCTATACAACATACACATGCACCAGAACAAGCCCTCTTAGTGCAATGGACAGGTCAGAAACAGCCACCTGCGAACTCAAGCTCCAGCCCTTTGACAGAGCAAAGGAAGGCCTCATGGCCTTATCATAACTGGTAACCACCCTCCAGTGCCAGCACAATACATTTTGGCACCTGAGGTAAACCACAAAATAGCTACCAGCCCATCACCAGACAATAAAGGATGAGTGAATATCTACATCAGGAACAAGAGGGCAATAAAGATACACATAAGGATCTGCTGCCCCTGTGGATCCTGCTGCCTAAGGCAGTCACCTCACCTTGCCTCATGGATGGGCCAGCTATGCCACCCTCATTACCCAGCAGGTAGGAAGCCTGCATGGAGAACCCATGGGCTCCCAAAAGGGAAGGGCCTGAATCTCACCATGGGAATAATGTTCCCACAGAGATCATTTTCAAAACACTCCACCAAACCCGCACACATTGGCGTCTGTGTGAGGGGAACAAGCATTTTGCAAGGGCTACATGTGCAAGGAAAAATAGCAACAAGCTTAAAGCAGGCCGTAACAGGAGCTGCCTGGTAAATCTGGGGGCAGCTTCTGGTAAGAGCAGCAGAATGGAAACCAGGAGATACACAAGGCTTGCCACAGGGAGAGGCTGAAATAACTTGAGCTGTGGTCCCCATTGCCTTACTAGTGCCTCATCATTTATTTTCATAATGCATGGAGCTTACCTGCTTATTTCTTTGAATGGTCCCCGAGTTGGATGTGAGTCACTAATGTGCATCTCTGCTTTACAAAGGTACCGTTTTACAATGTTATACATGGGATCCATAGATAACCTCAAAACAAGACTTATCCTTTGCTTCTCTATCTAAGGTGTGTATTCTGTCCACAATCATTGTCTCGTTGGCAACACTAGCCATAAATGATTTCACACCTCCTGGTGATTGAATGCTTATTAAAGGATACTGTTATGCTTACTAAAAGACAAACATATTGGACTATTGACTTTCATCAGCTGGTTATAAAGATCAAATCAATTTATGAAGGAAACAGGATGAAGATCAGCACAGCACCTTTGACAAAGCAGTCCCCATGAAGCCTGGAATAACTCATCTATGGAACTCTCACTCTGTGATATGACTCTCTTGCTGAAATGTGTCAGATAGGTGACAAACAAGTGAGCCCAGCAGGAAAATCCTCTTGCATCCTAGAGTTTATAACAGGGAGGGCAAACCTGTGGCCTGCCAGATTCAAGAGAAACACAATAACAGCTAGCTTTTAGCTGTTGCTCAGTCAGTGGGTAATAATAATGATAAGTAAAACACTGTTGTCTTGGTTCTCTTCTCTGCTGGTCTTCCCTAGGTAGGCTGTCTGATTATATCCATGTAGCCAAAGGGAATTTTAAGAGCATGGTATAATGGTTGAACACTGTTCTTGAAGCTACAAACATGAGTTTGACCAAGCTGCGGGAGGCAGTGGAAGACAGGAGTGCCTGGTGTGCTCTGGTCCATGGGGTCACGAAGAGTCGGACACGACTAAACGATTAAACTACAACAACAGCATAATAAATATTGATTTTGTTTAGCAATACCCACTATGAATCTATCAGTAATGACAGATATGGGCTATAGGCAACCTGCTTTCTCTCCATCCCATTCCAGTGG